GAGGCCAGGATCTCTGGGAGTCCGTGTGGAGGACAGTGTGTCTGGCAGTTCCTCACCATACTATTTTATTCATGACTTAATTTTTTTCTTCTGTCATGAGAGAATCTAAAAACATAGACACTTCAAGCAACATGAGGGAATTTCAGAAAGTTAATGGAGAATGGCATTAAACTGCACATTTATTTTAGTGCATAAAAAATTTAAGTCCATGCATAGTTTTTACAAAACACATACTTTCCAGGAACTTTTTGAAGACACCTCATATTAATTCAGACCCATAAACAGCCATCCAGGGTGAGCAGTAGACCATTATCAACATCCCCAAAGTCCACTGGATCCCTTTCCAATTCCACAACTCCCACTCCCAGAAGTAGCACTATCATGTCTTTGAGAATCAACCCCTTTTTACCTCTCATATGCTAATACTACGCTGCTTAACTCTCACATGCCAGTATGCCTATGAGCTTGTGTCAATGCATCATACAGGGCGTAATCTCTTGTTTGACTCCTTTTACTCCACATCATGTCTATGTGATGAATGCACACATACTGTTTCATACAGCTGCAAATCTGGCATTTCCATCATACACCATCCCATGTCATGAAAGCATCATGTCTTATTTACAGTCTTACTGGTGCATCCAATGTCTCTCCTTATTGGTAGCTTTTAATATTATTCTAGGTTTAAGGCCTTGCATCACTCATGGATGCTTCCATTGTCTTCTTCCAATTTGGCACTTGTGATCTCACTCTTCACAGTGTCTTTTGATCAGCAGCCATCCTTAATGTTCATGACAGTGAATGCTTCATCACTTTCATTTACAGTGAGTGTAGCTGTATCTTGTTGAAGAAAAGCTTTTCAAGCATGAGTATTGCAAAGGAATTCTGCCATGTTCTTGAAGCTGTTTGGCTTTGCATTTTACATTTGGGTTTTGAATCCACCAAGAGTTTGTGTGTGTGTGTGTGTGTTACAAGGCAGAGATTCAATTTCATTTCTTCAAGATAGAAAATCAACAACTTCCTCATTAGCTTGCAACATTTCCTTGCTCATCTATTCTTTGTCTACCTAAGAAGAAATCTGTTTCTGAGACCACTAGACTTCCCTTGGGCCTGCAGTTACATAATATTATATAACTAATACACCCTTATAGTAAGTATGGGCGCTCTGGCCAATGCTGGTATTTCTGGATAAGTGTAAGAATCTTTTTTTAATTTTTTTTTATCGTAAAAGTAGATTTACAGAGGAGGAGAGACAGAATGAATGATCTTACATCTAATGGTTCACTCCCGAAATTACTGCAATATCCAGAGCTGAGCTAATTTGAAGCCAGGAGCTTCTTCCGAGTCTCCCATGTGAGTTTTAAGGCTTTGGGCCATACTCTATTGCTTTCCCAGGCCATAAACAGGAGCTGGATGGGAAGTGAAGCAATGAAGGCACAAACTGGCGCCCATATATGTCAGCAGCTGAAGGCAGAGGATTAGCCAGTGAGCTATTGCATTGTCCCCGAGAATTGGCTTATCATGACCTACAGCCATACAAAAATCTCTTGGAGGGAGCCAGTGCTGTGTTGAGAAATGAGAAAAGCTCACTGCCTGCAGTGCTGGCATCCCATATAAATGTTGGTTTAAGTCCCAGTTGCTCTACTTCCAATCCAACCACCTGCTTGTGGCCTAAGAAACCAGCAAAAGGGGCCCGGCGCGATAGTGTAGTGGTTAAAGTCCTTGCCTTGAACATGCCGGGATCCCATATGGTCACCAGTTCTAATCCTGGCAGTCCCGCTTCCCATCCAGTTCCCTGCTTGTGGCCTGGGAAAGCAGTGGAGGACGGCCCAAAGCCTTAGGACCCTGCACCCCATGTGGGAGACCCGGAAGAGCTCCTGGCTTCGGATTGGCTCAGCTTCAGCCATTGAGATCACTTGGGGAGTGAACCATTGGATGGAAGATCTTCCTCTCTGTCTCTCCTCCTCTGTATATCTGCCTTTCCAATAAAAATAAATAAATATTAGAAAAAAAAAGAAAGAAAGAAACCAGCATAAGATGGCCCAAGTCCTTGGGCCCCTGCTCCCATGTGAGACACCAAAGGAAGCTCCTGGGTTTAGATCGGCTCAGCTTCGGCCTTTGTGGCTATTTAGAAAATGAAGCAGCGTATAGGAGTTCGCTGTCTCTCACATGCTCTCTCTTGCTCATATTCTTCTTTAAAAAAAATATCAATTGGAGAGACAGACATTTCGTAAACCAGTTAAGTTACTGCTTGGAAAGCCTACATCTCTTTCCTGATGGAGTGCCTAATTCAAATTCTGGCTACTCTGTTTCTATGCAACCTGGAAGGTAGCACATGATGGCTCAAGTATTTGTCTCTTTCATCCTAGTGGGAGATTGAGGTCTAGGCTCCTGGTGAAGCCTGGCCCAGCCCTGGCTGTTACAGCCTTTTGAGAAGTGGACCAGCAAATGGAAGGTATCAATCCCAATATATAGTTCAAATTTTTAAAAATCTAAATAAGTCTATCAAGTTTTTCCAAAAAAAAGTTGCCCTCTCTTTACTTTCTAAATAATTCATAACTGGTATTTTATTAAAATATTCTTTCCATCTGATGTTGACATATAATTTTTAAATAGATTTTGTATTCAGAAATCTTCCTAAATTCTTAAATTACCTAATAACTAACTGGTAGATTATTTTGAATTTTATTTTTTTAATATTATTTTTATTACAAAGTCAGATATAGAGAGGAGGAGAGACAGAAAGATCTTCCATCCAATAATTCACTCCCCAAGAGAGCACAACAGCCGGAGCTGCGCCAATCCAAAGCCAGGAGCCAGGAACTTCCTCCAGGTCTCCCACGCAGGTGCAGGGTCCCAAGGCTTTGGGCCGTCCTCCACTGCTCTCTGAGGCCACAAGCAGGGAGCTGGATGGGAAGTGGAGCTGCCTGGATTAGAACTGGCACCCAATGGGATCCTGACACATTCAAGGCAAGAACTTTAGCTAGGCCACTGCACCAGGCCCTATTTTGAATTTTAAACACACACATAGTAGGGCCAGGCCCAGTGGCTCAATTATAATCCTCCCCCTTTAAGCTGGGATCCCATATAGATGCCAGTTCAAGTCCCAGATGCTCTACCTCCCATCCAGCTCCCTCCTTGTGGCCTCAGAAAGCAGTATAGAATGACTCAAGTCTTGGGATCTTGTACCTACATGGGAGACCAGGCTTCATATCAGCTCAGTTCTGGCTGTTGCAGCCACTTGGGGAGTGAACCAGCAGATGGAAAATCTGTAAATCTGCTTAACAAAAATAAATAAATCTTCAAAGTAACTCAGCATGCTCCGTGATTTTTGGCACCCTGGAATGTTCTTGTAAAATAGGAATGGTTTCTTGGCTGCTTCACCAACCAAGCCATCTGAGGCAGTTCATGTGTGGGAAGACTTCAGCCTACCCAATCTGCTAGCTTAACAGCAGCAGCATGACTCAAGCCTTCCAGACCTTTTTTTGAGGCAGCTTTGGGTCCATTTTATCTGATTTTTTCCAACCTACCTGGATGCAGGTGCCTTTTTACAACAATGATCATCACATCGTGACATCAATGGAAGGCCATAGGCACATGTCTGTGACTAAGCCACAGTAAGACACGCTCCTGTGGGCGTATTTAACCTGCCTGCACCTGCCAGGTTCAGCTTCCAATCTCCAGTGCTCTTCCTGCCGATCAGCCTGCCTCTCCTCTTCCTCATCTGGCAGATTCTGTCTCATTTCTGACAATTCAGTTTCAAGCATCACATGCTGCAAAGATTTCCAGAGCACCCACACCTGGCTCAGCACCTGCGCCAGGCCCCCCACATCCCCTCTGGAGCTATCACTGCTAAGGCACTGATCACACTGCATTGAGATTCTGTGTCTGCCAGCCCCACGAGACCATGAACTCCTTCCTTTGTGTCCTCAGAAATAGAGAAGAGGTTGGCTAGGCCACACTTCAGCTGGACTGAGCTTCTCACATTGAACAAGGCACTCAGCTTCTTCCCCATAAATATTTCTTTGGTCCTTCACTGATTTCACTCAGTGGGTATCTGAGTATCTACTATGTGCATTGTACTAGTCTAGAAGAGTGACCAATGAGGAAGAAAATAAAAATAGGAGAGTATGATGTCCTTACGGGAAGAGTTTCAAGGCAGAGATGGTCCACTGTGTCAAGCGTTGCTGCAATATCAATAAAAATGAGGTCTGAGCAGCAGGCATTTTTTAACCCACCTGCAGCCCACACAGGAGTACTGGGTTCAATATCTGCTGACAGCTCCTGACGCCACCTTCCTGCTATTACACAAGCCTGGGCCTGGCGGCGAAGGGGTGGGAGTGGTCTCTCTCCTTCCTTCCCTCTCAAATAAATTTTGAACAAATATTTACAGATGACCTCTGACACCTGTGGTTACCACAAAGAGAGGATTAGAGAACTCAGCAGTTTTTGCTGAAGTGGTGGGGCAAAACTTATGAGAGGGCCATTTCAGAAAAGCATGAGGTGAAGGTAGAACTTCAGAAAGCAGGAATTGACTTGGCTTCCAAAAAGCTTTGTTGTAAATGGAAGTAAATAAATATAAGGTGTCTTCTTTGACTATGCAAGTTTTTTTTTTATTTGCATGCAGGAAATAGATCTCGCCTTTTCTTTGAAAGCTTCTGGGTTTCTCCTGTTAAGGACAAACATGATGACTGCAGGCAGTCCCTCAGGCAGGACCTTACCCTGCACAGCACTCCCTTGCTCCTTTCTGAGGTCCTTCCCTATCTTGAGGTGGGGTGGTTGTGGGGAAGGTTGAAGGAGCTCCCTGCCGGTGTCAAAGACTGCTTTGCAGTAACCTCAGAACCTTGTGTGGCTGATTCACAACCGATGTCCCCACAGCCACAGCCATCACTGCAGCCACATGAGTCACACCAAACCCTCCCGCGGCTGCTGCTCTTCCTCCCACCACCATCATCCATTTACACACAAGCAGGCTCCCACAGGCACAATGTAAAAAGATCAAAGGACCACATGTATTAGGACCATGAGGTGAAGAGATACAGATCCCCGAGGACATATTGAAGCAGCAACAGCAGCAGCAGCAGCAGCAAGCGTGACCACGCCCCCCGCCCCGCCCACCATGGTCCTCCCCACCACCACCGAACATGATCACCTTGCACACTCAGGCCCGATAGGAGACCACTGCACAGCAAGACACATCATTTCTCATAGAGCTCTATTGTGGCATATAATAATAGGTACTCTATATAAATTAAATTAAAAATAAAGCTCCAGCAGGTTGCACAGATTGGCTGTTAATAAATATATCTCTGGGTAATTGTGCCCCAAGACCAGCTCACGACCACTCTCCCTCATCCAGAGAATTATACAAAAATAAATACAGGCTTGGGAGGGGGAGGTGGGCAGGGCAGGGCAGGGGGGAGGTTGGCAGGGAGCAGGGGGGAACATGCCCAGTTCCATTCTAGAAGTTCTCACTCATACCATCCACCAGCCCCAGGTTCCTCTCCTTTAGCCTCACAGCAGGAGCCCGTGCCCGGTGGAGAGCTCTGGGCCAGGGCAGGAAGGCCTCTTTCCAGTCAAGCATTTTCAGAAGCAAATGGCTGAGGTCCCCCTAACTGTGCAGGCCACAGGTCCCATCTCATCCCTCTGGAGTGGTGTAGGGGCTGCTCCTCCCCAGAACCCAGAGTTGGGGGGGAGCGGGGCGCCTGTTATTGCTGATCCCACAAGCAGCTCCTACGAGAACCAGGCCAGAGAGAGGCACAGCACAAGCACCAGGAGGGATACACCACTGTTCAGAGCCACAGGGACCACCACCAGTCCGGCCAGGACTCCCAGAGTCTGAGTCAAGGGACCCCGGAGCTGGGGAGGCACTAAACACACATACTCTGTAGGGGCTGCTAGGGTATGGGAGCTCTTTGAGGACTCCAGGTTTGAGCCTGCACCCTCTTCATCCTGGCTGCTCACTGGAGGCCTGACCACATCAGACAGATAGACTTGAGCCCGCAAAGGCCCAAAGGGGCTGGGATTTTGCCTCCGCAGAAAGGCCAGGGCAGCAGGCTCCCTGCCAGGTAAAGGAACCAAGCCACCTGCCCACTCATTGGGGACCTCTGTTATGCCCCGTGTCCCAGCTTCCCCTGGGGACCGGGTCACCCCAGCTATCCCCCTGGTGCTGTGCAAAGAGTCACTTTCCTGGCCCATCCCTTTCTCTGCCTCTCCAGTGAATTGATCCTCTGTACCCAGGACTGCAGAGCTGTCATACCCCGATCTGTCCACCCACGGGAGCCACACATCTCCCATGGTGGCTACCACTGAACGGGCCCCAGACAGGATTTCTGGAGGCGATTCCTTGGGGCTGTCCCCTTCAGGGCTGGTGGGTGTGATGGGGAGTCCCTCGTCACCTTCCCCATCATCATCAGCGTCCTCTGTGTCCTTGATGAGCTCCACGCCACGCCCCAGGCGGGCGTAGTGTAGCGTGATCTCTTCAGCCAGGGCACTGTTCAGGGCCCGCTCCGGGCCAGGCCACTTCAAGATCAGGTCACGGTCTGTGAGGATGCCCAGGGGCTGGCTGGGGGATGTGGCCCCATCGGTGGGACCCTCCCCGCCACCCGCTGCCCCACCTGCAGCCACAGCAGCCCGCAGGCGACTCAGGTGAGATAGGTAGAGCTGCTCTAACTCCTGATCGATGGTGTCCTCTCCAAGCAGCTCCTCCAACCCACTCACCGCCTCCAGCCCCCCGGAGGGCTCATCCATAAGAGCCTCTGCTGTGGGGCCCTTCCGATCCCCTCCGTTTTCACTGGACACTTCCCACATGGCTTCCACCTGTTGCTGGCCAGGCTCCAGGAAAGGGCTGGTGGCCCCCTCACTTGCATCGGGCCCCGAGGCTTGGTCCCTGGGTGAGCTGCTCAAGCCACAGAGAGGGGAGGCAGGAGGGATCCGGATGGCTGGTGCCTGGGGGACCTCGGTAAAAGCCACAGGCGGACTGCTTCTGGGGATATCACCTTGTTCTGGGAGGCTGCTGGCCATGGTGACTTCAGAAACCTGGAGTCATGGGGGCAGGAGAGAGAAAAGAAAAATAATGAAGGTGGGGGATGGAATAAGCAAAGACAGAAAGGACTAGAGAGGGACCATACCCAGCCCACAGGGGTTGCCAGAGAATGCCTTTAGAGAGCACCCTGGCGATATGGTCATCTACATTAACACAATAAAATGAGGGGGAAAGGAAGAGGGGGCTTCCTACAAAGCTGAGGAACTTGGTCAACATCAATGCAAGGATACTGTAAAAAAAAAAAAAAGCACAGAAAACAGAATTAAAAGATGATTTTAGAAACAGGTGCTTGGTCCAGCAGCTGAGACACCTGTTAGGATACCTGCATTCCATTCCCAAGTGCCTGGGTTCAAGTCCCAGCTCTACTCCTGACTTCAGGTTTCTACCAATACAAACCCTGCTGGGAGGCAATAACAATAACTCAAATACTTGGGTCCTTGCCACCCACAAGGGAGACCTAGATTGAGCTCCCAGCTTCTGCTTCAGCTCTAACTAGGGGCTGGGGGTTGGGAGGAGACTTTTGGGCATTTGGGAAGTGAACCAACAGATAGGAGCCTGTTCTTTCTCCCCCCAAGTGCATGTTTTGATACCCAATGAACTTGTGTAGAATCCCCAGGTGCTCACAAAGATACAAAACCAAAAATTCTTTTATTTGGTCTCCTGTGGAGAAAGTCTTTTTTTTTCCTGGTCAATAAAAAGGGGGAAAACTAAGTTTTTACACTGATTTCCCATATAAACTCAAAAGTAGCCAAAAAGCTGATGTGAGAGTGTTTATAGAAAAATTTCAGCTAATAAAGGAAGGGAGAACAGGATTGAGTAGAGTGAATGCTATTTAAATTGAATTAACAACAAATTAAATGTGATAAATGCATGAAACCAATAGTTTCACAAAGACTAATTAAATAGCATTTAAAATTTAATAAAAAAAATCATAGGAAACAGCATTCCACCTGGATGCAATTAGACAAATACAGACAGGAAAACTCCACACGACAAACAAGATTCTTTTTTCTTTTCAACAAAGACTTTTTTTTTTTTAATCTGAAAACATCAAGCAATCTAATGGACTTCTAAAACACTTCTGAGAGAAAGAAAATTGAACAGTGACCTAACACTTGATAACACTAAGGAACAATTATTTTTTCTGAGGGTTGGAGATAAAAGTTTTTCTAAGGGTTCTTAATTTTCTGAGCTGCAAACTGAAGTATTTATGAATGAGATGATGTCTAGATTTTTATTTCCAATACAACTCCACAGGCCATGGGGAGGAGACTTGAGTCTAAGAGAGCATAATGGAAGAGTTCTGGTATTTGTGGAAGTTCCATGATGGTCTACCCTGCTTCTCGGTACTCTACTAGTCTTTGCTTTAATCCATTTGACCATTTTAGTAACAAAGCGGGTCTTTTTTTTTTTTGTAACACATTCACACATGCACACTGTTTCCACAATGTCCCTCTCCTGCCACCCACGGCAACCCGAACCTCCTCCCATCCTCTGCTGCCACCACCCAAGACCCCTGTTTCTCAGCCTCATTCTCAGTCTATTTGCAGTGCAGCAGCAGGAATGGATTCAAAAAGAAATCAGATTTACATTCCTCCTTCTACTAAGGACCTTCTGTGGCCAGCCCCACCACCACACACACACACACACACACACACACACACACACACACACACACAAAAGAGCCAAAAGCTTCCCTGTGGCCAGCACCTCCCTGACATTCCCCCTCCTCATGCTTTAATCCCGGCCCTACTTTGGGAACCTGGCCCAGGATGTCCCCGCCAAAAATTTAGTTATCTATGTGACTCCCTGTCTCACTTTCTTGGCATTTACATTGACATGCTACTAATCTTGGAATGCTTCCCCTTCCAGCCTCCCTACCCTAGTTGGGCTTCTCTTCATATTCTTTTTTCTTTTCCTTAACACTTACCGTCATCTAAAATATCATATACTTGGACTAGTCTTGTATCATGTCTCAGCCCACTAACGTACAAGCCTCATGAAAACAGCTGTTTTGGCTGCACCATATTGCCTGGAGTCTGTGATGGCACTTTCGGCACACAGCCAGCCCTCTAAAAACTTCTGGGTGACCCTCCAAGGGAAACGTCTCTAAACCTGGAGTGGATAGCTGCATTCTCCCCATCCCCATCAGGTTCTGATTCAGGTGGTCCATCCTCTAGTGCTAGGAGGATCCGCAACTGGCTCAGTCCTGATGCCTAGCCTCACTGTGCTCATACTGAGAGTTCTCCCACCCTGCTGTCACCACCCCACTTGGGCAGAACACTCTAAAGCTGCCTGCCAAGGCCCGCTGCTTACCTGCAGTGTCATCTGCGGCCACGGACGGAGAGGGGTGGGAGCCACTAGTGGACCGACTGACTCTTGAACATTGGGACACTCTGCTGGAGGAGAAGAAAAGTGTTGGGGCAAGACAGAGGGATAAGCAGTCCTGTTCCAGTTCTGAACAGCTGCCCTTTGAGCCCATTTGGCACCTACTGCCTCAGAAGCTTTCCTAGGCCACCTCAGGAAGGGCAGGGGGGTGGTGAAGGTTGGAGAGGGAGGGATGCCTTTTATTTTCCCATCTTTACTTCTGATTTCTTTATTCATGTGATTAATTTTGCACATCAATTTCATCTTTCCCGTGATTCTTGTTATGACTGCAACACATCCAAAATGGTCTATCCTAAGATTCCCAACATACAAAAATGGGACACACACACACACAGACTGAACAAGTTGCCCAGCAGTTCAGGAGAATATGATCTGAATGTTAAACATTGATGAGAAAAAGCCAAGGATGCAAACTCTATGAGTGAAGGCCTTTCGAGAGAAGCTATCTCCAGGCATCATTTCCCATTGTTTCTTCTACCACAGTTATAGGAAACAGTAACAGGGTCAGTGTCCACTCCCACTCATTGGAAAGGCTGCTCATAGAGGGAGGCCCTGGCTGCTGCAGGGACTGAGGCACCTAGGTCTCAGCGCCCATTTCCAGTTCATATCTGGGGACTCAGCTTCAAGGATTATTGCCAAGTCTGGCTTCATTTAAGATTTTTTTAATATATATATTATAAAGATGTTTCTTTTTCTTCAAAGAATTACCAAAAGAGAGAGAGAGAGAGACTAAGACCAGACACAGGACAAGAAGACATTGTAGATAAGGGCTCAAACTGGTGAAGTTCACCAATGGCTTACCCACAGCAGGGCTACTATCATCTGTGCTCTTCATCCTCAGCTCCTCTTCGACAGGCCTGTCGGGCACAGAGAGCACACGGAACTATCACCCAGAGCAGTCAGGTCTGCCACCTTCCATCATAACCCATCCCTGCCTGGCAGCTGCCATTTTCTCCTCTGCTGCCTTGACCGTGAAATTCCCAGACTCATTATACAAAACTTAAGCAAGAAAATTATCAAGAGAAGCGGGCACGGGGGGGGGGGGGGGCTTCACATCAGCCAGAAACAACCACTGCAACCGTTTTCTACAAACTCCTTTCAGATGCTGCCCGAGATCATTTAGCTCCAAAGGCCATCACCTCACAACTGGCTCAGTCCATTTAACAGGAAGAGACATTGTGATAGTCTACTTAACCCTCAACATCTTACGCACTTGCCACCATCTAGATAGCCAGACCCTCCTCCTAAGCAGCTAGATAGTCGATTTCATGCTGCAGGCACACAGCAAACCTGAGCAGAAAGTACACAGGGGAAAGGGGGGTGTTGGTTTATCAATTTCTCTAGGGGATATTTCCCCAGCTGTGCAAGAAGCCATATTTGCCAAGAAAGGGCAGGTGAAAAAGGAGAGAATGCAAACAGAATTGAGAAGGGGGTCACAGGATACTGCATGCATCCATCTGCCCTCCCACCCCCCCAACACTTCCTTCCAACAGCTCACTGTTCCTCCTCACCTGTTAACAGAGAGCACAACAGAGCCAGCACGTGCACACCTAGCACAGTGGGGAGTCGAGGGGACTGAAGCTAGGAAGTCAGATCCCAGGGCCTGGCAGGGAGCAGGGGCTGAAGCAACAGGAGTAGTTATAGTCCTGTTCCTGCTCCACCAAACCAGCCGGACCCCTGGACGGCCTAAGCCCCGCGTTATCTCAGCAAGATCCTGCCAGGGGCGGGGCCTCACAGTGGAGCGAGCTCTGTTCTTCGCCCCACAAGTGAGTGTCCAAGGTCTCCCGGGAGGGAGGCACTAAGGATAACGTGTTCCGAGACCTGAGAGGAACTGACGCAAGGCATCCTCCTGCAGGGCAAGGTGACAGTGTTGACATTTCTGGAATCAACTGAAATGTTTTGAAAACCCCTAACCAACTGCCGTCAGCGCAGTCACTAAGCTGACCTGTACATCGTACAGCATCCTGAGTGTGCTGTCAGGGACTGTTGTTCTAAGTGAAGGTCACATAGCCAGGATCAAAATTCAGGCCTTCCTGCTGATTCACATGGGAGCTGCAGCTGGGGAGGGCCGGGCTGGACTAGGCCACAGCACCCACTGGAACGCACAAAACCAGCGGTAAGAAGGGTTATTCAGAGTCACCCTAACTATGCTGAGGTACCCAAGGGTGTGTGTCAGGACCAGGACTGTGGTGGGTTGGGCTGGATTAGTCCACAACATGCAGCACTTGCTAATTCACCTGACAGATGGGTCTAGGGGCAGGACGGACCAGGCAACTGCATTCAGCAGGCACATTCATCGCCTGATGCAGCAAATAGACCAAACCTGACCCTATACCAACTGGCACAAATGAAAGTCAAGCCTGAGGACTTCCCAGGTGAGGTTTCTTGGAGGATTCTTCAACTAGACTGCTGGGCTCAAGTCCCAGCCTCAGGGAAAAAAAAAAAAATCACAAAATATGTGTCCGACCTTGGAGATCACATATCAGGACTGGACCTCCTCAGTTGCTGACGCCCGCGCAATGGATAGCATGCCCAGATGCACACAAAGGACAGAACAGCTAGCTCATCTAAGCCAACAGGACATTGAGTACCTCATCAGAAAATAGAACAAGTCAAACAACTGTCCTGGCCAGGTGCTGAGGTACCTATCTACATCTGTGGATACACTAAGGTGCACCTGGTCAGCAAATTGACCTCGGAAAGATGTTCTCTACCCTGGTGCAACGAACTAAACAATGTCTCAGAACTATCAAAACTACTCAAGTGACAACCTCAGAACACTCGTCCCCACATCAGGGTCTCTAAGGTGACATTAAATAACCATCTTCATCCCAAGGCACTGATGTAATAGTATAACAAGGAACAGCTCCCTTCCCTTCCTCCTCTCTCTTCCCCACCCCTCTGGGCCCCAGCCGAAACAGGAAAGAAAAAAAGGGGGGGGGCATAAAAAGAACTGAAACATTTGTCTCACTCCCCTTCCTCTAAACCTCAACCCTCCCTCCCCTAGTCCACATGAGTTGGCAACTCTCTCAACTCTGTAATTAATATGAAAAAAAATTAAATTATGGGGCGAAAAGAAACTCAGGCTTTCTGGATGCTTCATGAACGAGACACTGGGGTCTTATCCAATACCATGTCCAGTCCTTCCTGGAGGTAGACAGATGCGAGCATCAGTAACAGACACTAGCCTTCCCTTCCTACATTCACACCGGTATTTGTTCATCCCAGCCTTTCATCCATCTGTTCATTCCCAGTCTATGTCCAGGGACAAATGGCTCACAGACCTCCACCCCAAGACATAGGGCAGCCACAATAAACTGCTTTTCATAAGCAATCTAGGGAGAGGCTTCAACCATGCAGATCCAAAGTCTGAAAGTGCTGATAGGGCCCAGTATCCTTTCGTTATGGTGTAAGGCCACATCCTACTGAAGGTTTTGTCATCAAATGCCACACATTTGATGCCTGGGGTGAGTCTGGGAGGCCAGCCATCAGTCCCCCTACTCCCCAACTCCTGCCCCCAACCCCATTCTCTGGCCCAGTCCTGACATGCATGACAACCAAGCATTTTTGTAAGTCATGACAGAGTCATCGACATTACAGGGGAAAGGGAAGGACTCAGGCAGCAGGCAGCCAACCAGCCAGCCTGCAGGAAAAGGAGTCCAAAGGTCAGATGAAGGAAAGAAAAAAGAAAAGAAAAACACGCACAAAAGACATCCTTCAGAGATCCCCAAGTTACTGATCCAGGAGAGGCACAAAAGAAAGGAAATGCTCAAAAATCAGGTCAAGAAACTCAGCCAATCTCAAAACCTGTGAAGCCAACAGAGGCAAACAAGTGGTTCTCCCCATCACCACCACAGAGAATTGTAAGGAAGCATTCAGGGCCACCTCCTCCAACATCGCCCTTTTCATCCATGCACTGCACACCTGCTCAAAAACCTTTGCACCTGCCCTCCCCACCCCACCCCCAACAACACTCTGCTTTTGTTTGCAAATGCAGGAACCAAGGCTCAAGGACATCCGCTGACCACACAGCCACCACACCACCACAGCGATAATGTCCCCAGAGGACTCCACTTTGAAGACAGTCTTTGAAATCGTGGGCTTAGGATAACAACAGATATCCTTCAAGTGTCTTTCTTGGTAGCAAACACCCAGGGTACCTATGCCTCTCCTCAAAACGAGGACAGTAAGAGAAATCAAGTGCAAAGGCAGACTGAGTCACAGAGCAATAACAGAGAAGAGGGGTTCTTAGAAAAAAAAAAAAGTGGCAGAGAGATTAAGAACAAAACTGTCCCTACAGTGTGCCTATTTTCAAGAAGGAGACCTGCTCCTTCAACACCAGTCTCACAAATGCTACTTTGTGCCCCCTCCAGGTTGGCAGGTGGTTAATGGGCAAGGGCACAGAGACTTGGGACGTCCTGACTATGCATCAAATGGCACAGGTGTGCTACTCAAGCCATCCAGGGGGCATCCCAGACCTGCACCTATATCCTGGTGGTAAAAATTCCTCCTGCCTGGGAGACTTAACTGCCTCCAACCTCACCCAGTCCCAGTGGGGCGGGTTGAGATTTTGGAAGGAGACAGTGCTGAAAAACAAAAACAAAGATGGTACTGGTCCCAGCCTAGGCCTGAAGGGAGAGGAGGATGGTCTGAGTCTCAAAGTCTGCAAGTGAGGACTGATAAGCGCAGAGTAGAAGTCAAGCAGCCTCTCACAGCAGTCACATCACTGCCACCAACACAGCTACCCAAGGCCTCTGTGTACACTCCCATTTTCAAAGAACCCAGTCCAAAGTGGGTCAGGCACTGAAACCCAAAGGGAAACTCAGCAACCAGTGGCTCCCATGGAGTACCAAGTTGATGAGAATGCTGACTCTCCCACAATACTTGGAACCCCATTTCCCCCAAGACGTCTGCTCTCCAAAGAGCAAAGCCTGGGGGCGGCTGTGAAAGCCTGTGCCAAGTTATGTGGAGCACCACCTTGCCTACACCAGCATGTGGGTCCGCCTCAACACCATGCTTCACACACGCTCCAGTGAGTGGAGAGTGAGCAGGTGACTGCACCGGGGCCTTTCACAGTACTGCCTTGGTTCTTTAGCCATGAACCACAGTAAGACATGCGTGTCACACTGTAACTCAGCAACAAAGTGCATGTAACTACTGCAAACCGCACCAAACAAGCCTTACCTGGATGGCACATGGTGCTGCACTCTTTACTTGCCGTGCTGTCACTGTTCCCTTTGTTCTTTATTGTGGGAACCCAGCAAGATTGATTTCCTGTCACAATGAGGGGTCAGGACATGGAATCTGGACCAAGCCCAGCTATACCACTCCCCTGCTGTGTGGCCTGAGGGAAGTTACTGAGCCTCTCCACTCAGGTTCCTCATCCATAAAAAGGTTCAGAATAATAACACCTACTTCAGTGTGTTGCTGGGCAGAGGTGAGGAATATTTGAAAATTATTTACAGAGCACTGAGTGAATAGGAAGCCAAGGTCCCACTGCCCTGAAGCAGGACCATGCAGGCTCAGTTTCCAGCTCTGCCACTCCCTCAAGCAAGTGGTCTCATGATTCCTTAACCATGACGCCCCCACACCAGCTTTCTGTGGAATCAAAGGGAATGGCTCTATAAAACAAAGCTGACCTCTTCCATGTCCTGTTTCAACTGTGGGCACTGTAGTTCCCCATAACGTCGCCACCTTGGCTAGTGCATATAAGATCCAACCACCGAGTTCCAGATGCACCTATAAAATCGAGATTTTACTGTGCAGCAGCCCCAGTGGCAGGTCCTGGAGATGCAAGGGCACACAAACCCTGCTAGGAAAGTTCCGATGTCAGGCGAGGGAAGACGTTAAAAAAAAAACAAAAAAACTCAAACTCAAGTCTTTCAACAGAAATTTATTGAGTATCTGCTAAGGATCAGGCACTGTGGCAGGCCTGTGGGGATATACAGCGTTGAATGAGAGCAGACTGGGCTCCTACCCCTCATGGAGCTTACAGTCTAGCTGGGCTGTCATCCAATAACCCACTGAACCTAGACTGGTGGTAATACCTTTTAGAGAGAGAATGCCTGAGAACAGGGGGCCTACCACAGCATCAGGGAGGGCTTAAGGAAGCTCAGAAGGCAAACAAGCAAGGAAAGGGGTATGCGGTGTGAGGAGTTGCTCCAGAACCATTGAGGTGGTGATGAACACAGCCCCTAAGCAAGGTGAGCTAGAGTGGAGCTGGGAGGAATCATTGGGGTACAAGTTAAATGCAGACACTGAGTTAGGAAATGAGAGACCAAAGCAAAGAAAGAAAGCAAGGAAGAAAAGAAGGGCCAGAGAATGTGGAAGGTTAAGCAGCAGAGTATAGCCCCAAGGCCTGGGAAGAAAAATATCTGAAGTCAGAATAATAGACCACCTCAAGAGAAACCAGTGTGTTACCTAGCTGATGCAAGGAGTGGAGGAGAGGAAGAAAAGCACAGGCCACACTTTATACATGGGGAGGGAGTGAGCAGGTGCTGGCCAGGGCAGGGGGTGGGGGCAAAAGGAGAGACAGTGGAGACAGCAGAGGGACCAGGTGAGGAAGGCAGAACAACTGCCAGAAGAGGAAAGGGGGTAGCTGATGTCCAGCTACGGAGCAAGTTGCAGCCATCAGGACCCAGGGCATGGGGAAGGGAGCTGGCCAGAATGGGGAGGAGGGGAACGAAGCCCTCCCTCCTCACCTAGATCACAAGGGAGGGAAATCAACTTGCAAGTCGGTGGCATAAGCTGCCAAGTTGTAGGTAGTGCCCTTCTTACAGCTTCTGTTTTTGCTTTCTGGAAGCAGGAGGTATAGCCTGAAGGGAAAAAAGATTGGAGGGGGCCCATCAGAGAGAAGATAAGAGTAAATTAGAAAAAACTCCCAGGCAGGGTGGTCAACGCTCTTGAACTTGTGGTGATGCTCATCTACATGCTCTGTCATATTTTCAAACTGCTGGTCTGCTGGGCCAACCAGCGTTGTGAAACTGGGGTCTGCAGAAGCAGGAGCGGGGGTAGTGGTACGGGCAGAAGTGGAGAGGCTTCATTCCGGAAGTCCTCCTAGAACTGAGGGATCAACACAAGACAAACATTCCTGGTGAAGGAAGCAGCATAGGCAAAGGCCCTGGGGCAGGAAGGAGCAAGGCCCTTTGGCATAACACCTGGTGACGGCTCAGACAGGTATAAGATTAGAAGTCTGCAGATGGCCAGACCTGGGGAAATGGGGCACATAGTGAGTCTTCCTCAGTCTTTATTTTCTTAAGAGGAACAGGACCACGTCCTAAGGATGTTGAGCCACAGCAGTGGATCAGGAAGGTTCCTGCTACATATGACCCCAGGGATTTCTGGAGTCTGGGAGCCTGGGTTTGTTCATCCAGGAGAGAGGGATCAAAACCACTTACGTCAGAGGGAACCTTGTCAGGATTAAACGAGAGTTCGCAACAACAAACAAACTCAGCAAAGTACCTACGCAGAACACAGGTCCTTGACACCTGTCCCCTCCCACCCAATTCTCTACCATGAGCCCTTGGCCACTAGTGCCCTTAGTACCTGTCAGCCTCTCTTTCTCCCTGCTTCAAGCCAGCACCAAGCCCAACATCCAGGAAGCCCCTACCAAATGTTTGCTGGTAGATGCTCTCTAAGCCTTGGGACAGGGAAGGGGGATTACAGGGAAAGGAAGGGAGCCAAAGTCCAGTCCAGCAGTTCTGCACTTGTGACCTGTATCCTGAAGGCTACCTCAGACCTCCCCCATGCTCCCAACCTGACAGAGCCACAACCCACACACAGTGGGCCAGCAGTTGACACATCCTGAACAGGAAGCCCTCTGGGATGCTCGGTGCTTCCACAGGCAAAGGCTATCCCCCTGTGATCCTCTACATTTCCCAGGAGGGCTGGGGTGTAGAGGGTAGCTATTCTTCAACAGCGCTCACGCAGCACACAGGTTTTGATACAATAATAAGTTGAAATGTTCTCGCCGAGAAAGCCACCAACCTACAAAGAAAACCTTATCGCTGATCTTGCAATGAGCACCAGCCACCCCTTTGCAAGAGCTTACATCAAAAGGGAAAGAAGCTATCAAAAAGCCATCTGCCCACTTAAAATAATCTCACAAGTCATGTTAGGAACCACAGACCCAGGGCCAGATACCAAAACAATTGTCTGCACAAGCTGCTTCAATTTCTCCTTAAAACCACCCATGTATTTTAAAAGAAAAACACCCTCTCCACCCACCTTGGCCCTGCAAGGTTTTGATTTCTCTGTTCCCTTCCTTTCACATTCTTTAAAAATGACCAAACTCTGTTACCCCAAACTGTCACATCTTACAGATTGGGCTCCCACGACTGCCAGTTAAGATGAGAAGTAAGGCGGGAATGGGGGCAAGGAACCAATCAATGCCTTGATGTGGGCAATGGTGACACAAGTGCTTACGATGTGGACAAATCCATGAAGTTGTGCCCTGAATATCAGTAACACCTTATGTGAGCACACACCAATAAAGCTACCTCCCCGCACCACCCCCCAAAAAAAAGAGAGAGAGAAAAGATAAAAGGAAAAGTATCACATGTTGGGAACATCAACACTGAAATCTAGAATTTGCTGAATCCTACCAGGCCTTCATGAGGATCAACTGTTTAAAATAAGCAAAAGCTCCTAACAACTTCCTCCCTTATTCCATCATTCCTGGCTGAGTGGCTTGATTAAATAAATGGCCATATAATCCCTACCCCTATCACACAGCATGCACAGCAAACCAAAGGAGAGGATAGACCTAACCCTTAGCTCAGGGATCCATAAATGCCAGCCACCTCTATCTTTTGCTACTACCCCTAGGCTTCCAGTATCTGTGACTGTCTGCCACATCCAATCCAATCACACAAAGGAACTGCCAGACCAACTTAGCAGATGAGGAAACTGAGGCGAGACTGTACTACAGCTGACGCTGGGTAGTTAAACTCAGAAGGAAGAATCCAGGGGAACAGGACATGTGACTCTGTCCATGTTCCTACTAGCTAAAACAGCCTTAAGACACTGTTTTTGAGACAGGCTCAGTTGCTGGTTGGTTGGTTGGTTGGTTGGTTGGTTGGGGTGGGTGCTTTTATTCGTAGCCTGTGAAGGTGATCTAATTATCTCAATTGCATAGCAAGGCCCCTGAAGCACAGTGTGTTTGACAATGGCCTATGGTCAGGGTTTTAGATGGCTGCCCAGGCAATGTAACAGCAGAAAGCATCCTCTGAAGACTGCCTGCTCCCTCCACGTGAGGTTTTGAGATGCAACAGCACAGGTCCTGGGTGAGCAGGTGCTTGCCATTTGGCTCTCTTTCCCAGGGCACATCTGCCCACCAAGCCCAATGCACTTGATCTCTGAACCACTTACAGCCCAGAGCCTAGCGGGACTGACAGATGCCACCAATACCTCCTTGCTGCAGCCAGCGGCTTCTGATCAAACACACACAAGGTCCCACATAGCATTTTCCCTCTCCCCGTCCCCAGTTCTCCCAGGAGCAGGGAAATAGATACTTCTCAGGGCTAATCTACTGATCGCAGACACCTGGCGGACCACAACAAATCATCAGGCTTTGCTGCGGCCCTTGAAGGCCTCACAGATTCAGAGAGGAAACAACCCAGGAAAAGCTAGCATTTAAGGCCTCCTGGGCTACAACTAGCTGGTTATTTCTCCTAGCCCTGGAACAGCTATGGGTAGGGTGGCAAAAATACAAAAGGCATGAGCTTCAAGTCCAGTCCCCATCTGGTTCTGGTTTTCCCTCTACCAGAGTCCCTGCTTCCCTCTGCCGGCCTCACCCAAGAGCACAACAGTAACGAGCATGTGCAGACTTCAAGGTCAGATATGGCTGAACCTGAAAAGCTGGGAAACCATCACCTCCCCAACCATGTTCTCCACCACAGAGACCCTACTTTCCTGCTGTCGGGCAGGGATCACATTCCTTATTTCTGGTGGCCAGCCCCTGGGTCTATGCTGCCATGTCACTGTTGCTCGCTCCACTCCAGCACACCCCACCCACATCATTCACACCAAGCCCATGCCCACCTCAGGACCCTTGAACCTGTTGTTGCTCATCCTGTAATATTCGTGCTCCACATCTGCACAGAATTGTCCATTACCATCCAGGACTCGAACTGCACCTCAGCAAAGCCCTCCCTGCTCCCTTTCCTACTAACTCCACCAACCCCCACACCTGCACAGGTGTTTTATCATCCAGCACTCACCTCTTCAGAAAGCTCCCTGTTGCACCATGCCTACAACAGCCACTCCCTAGCCCATTTATCCCCTCACTTTCTCTGCTAGGCAGCTAACCTTGTCCCTATGGATCTCCAACAGGAGTCTGTCCCATCCTCGCGGACAAGGAAGATGTCAGCCTTGTCCAAGGGCTTTATGGGGGAACTCAATCACCGAATTAATGCATACCAGTGCCTCTCATACACACCCTCATCACTCTTTGCCTAACCTAATGCACCCATTTCCCCTCCTGGAGAGCAGGCCTTGAGGGGTGCCGGGACCGGGTTACTTGGCCCCTATCCTAGACACGGCCCTGTGTTGGCGGAGGTGGCGCCGGCACATTACCTGCGCCTCACCGGCTTCATGCAGCTCTTCAGCTGCTTGGCCTCTGCCTCCACGGGACCCTGGCACTCGGGCTGTGGCTCCAGCTGCTGCTGCTGCTGCTGCTGGGGCAGCCCTTCGGCATCAGTGGGTGTGGGAGCGGGTGCGATCCGGAGCAGGACTGTGTAGTTGCGGCCGTGGTTGTTGGCCCAGAAAGTGCCCTCGGGGGTCTCATAGCGCACCACGAAGTCGAGGCGTGCCCCATCGCCCGCGCCCTCAGCAAAGGGCAGCTGGAAGGCAAAGCGGTCGGTTCGGCCGCCGTCGTCGGGCGAGGAGGCAGTTGCCTGCCCGGGTCCCAGGCTGAGCCCCGGATCCAGGATAGGATCTCCTGCTCCTGCTCCTCCTGCTCCGGCCCAAGGTGGGCTGCGCGGGACGTAGCGTGCTGGGTGGTCGCAGAAAGAAGCCCAGCCGTCGTGTGAGGCCCGCACGTGCACCGCCTTCTCGAAGGAGCGGTTCAGCACGCGTACCAAACCGCGCAGCGCCGGCGGGCGTCCCCCAGGCACCCACACCCCGGCACCCCCGGGGACCGCTCCAGGAGGCGGCAGCAGCGCCTCCAGCTCCACCATCACTCGCCCCAAGCGCTCCAGACGGCCCGGCGCGGGCGGCAGTGAAAATGTGGGCACCAGGTAAAAACCCCCGCCAGCGGGGACGGGGCACAGCGGCGAGGGTTCGGAACAGGTCTCCTCTTCCTCCTCCCCTTCATCCCCATCCTCGCCATCGTCGTCCTCGTCAGCCCCGCTGCCGCCACCGCCGCCGCCGCCGCCGCCATCTTGCCCGGTCGCCGCCGCCATCTTGCCCGCCCCGGGCCCGCCCCACGGCCGGTAGCGGCGCAGCTGCGCCAGCGGCAGCCCCAGGGCCTCGTCGGCGAACAGCACCCTCCGCGGGGCCGCCGCCGCCTCCACCGAGGCGCGGGGCTCTCCCGCGGCTGGCGAGGGGGGCGAGGGATGCCGCAGCGGGGGTTCCACAGGGGCCGTGCGCGCCATAGCGGCGGCGGCGGCGGCGGCACCGACGGCACCGGCGGCGGCAACCGGCGGAGGCAGGGCCTGGAGGGGCGGGCAGCCAATGGGAAGGCCACCGCGGGGGGGTGGGCTTATGGGGGGCGTAGGCGCTGAGATGAAGATGGATAGAGCAGGGAACCAATGGGCAGCTGTGCGCGGCTGACGCAGGCGCTGAATTGCGAGCCGGGGAAGCAAGCAACCAATGGAGATGCCCGAGAGTGGGCGGTGCAGGAGGCGGGATGATCAGAGAATCAATGGGGAGGCCAGGATAGGGATGCTACGGGATGCGGGATGCAGTGAGAAGTCAGATAGTCCATGGAGAGACCTGAGTGGAAGTGACATTTGGGTGGAGGGGAAAAGCAGAACGGCTGCAAGCATGAGAGCAGCAGAAAGCGGACCGAGAGGCCCAAAAAGTGGGAGATTCGCCTTTTGCGTGGGCGGGGGGGGGGGAGGAAGATAGAGACCGCATAGCCAATGGGGAGCCGCACGCAGATGACGCGAGGGCAGGATGACGAGAATGGCTGCAGTGAGCCAATGTGGCGTGTCGTGAGTGTGCGCTACAATGTCGCTTCAAGAGGCAGTACCAAGACGAGACTAGACAGTACAGAGTCTAGAATCACATCAGGAGGCAGGATATGAGCGTCCAGAAGGCGGGAATGTGGAGGATAGGGCTAATGATGATGGAGAATGAAGGCGGGAGTGAAGAGGGAGGCAACGGATAGCCAATAGGAGAGCCACGGTAAAGGGGGCGCGACCTCAAAGGGCCGGGCTAGCAAGGAATGAGTCTATACTAAGGCTAAAAGTATAGCGGGACAGAGGGAGGACTTGGAGGCAAGATGCGAAAGAGCAGAGAACCACATAGGGCGGTGTAGGTGGTGTTGGAGAAAGGCTGGAGTAGCCAATAAGGAGGCCAGAGGTGAAGGATGGTGCTTAGGCACCATGGGCTGTTGTGCCTAGCCACAGACCAAAATGGTAGGCAGCAATGGAAAGAGTATCCATCTCGGGATGGATTTACCTTTTCCCTAATCTCTTATGACTCCCATTGCCGCAGAAAAGCCCGGAATCCCCAGAAGCCTAGATTGTATCCTAAGATGAAATGTAAGAAAGCCAAGAGTTACTGGCTCCCTGCTACTCATCTCCCAGTCTTTGAGTGATGCCACTAGCCAAGAATGTCCCCCGCTGATGGCTTCTTAGTGTTCCTTGACACTGATTCTTAGCATTCTCCAACACTTGGCACTGTTGTTGAAGGAATGACCAAGTGAGAAAATGAAACTTTCAGTAGGATTAGCTTTTCTACCTCGGCTCAGCCTGAGCTGATTAGGCGTTTGGGTAGACACTGGCCAAAGCCATCGCACACCACAGTCATCTTCCACCCCAGCTCCACATTCCACACTCCACAGTGACTCAGCCTCCTTTCTCCCCATCTCTGCTCCCTTTCCCAAGACTTCTGTTTCTTCTGCTTGCTCTGTCCAAAAGAATTTCTTTCACCCTCCCTTTCAGGCCTCACCTGTGGGAACCAAGTGTTGCTTGAGTCCACAGACCATGTCCGTTCATTGGTTACCTCTGCATCCTGGGAGAGTATACTGACCAGCCACTGCATGCCAGTTGTTTCAACAGCAGCCCCCCGCCCCCTGTTCTCCTCATGTCCAAGCTGGGGTCACGTATCAGGAGGGAACAGCTGCAGTTGCAAGCAACAAAAAAGCCTGAAGTAATGGGGGCTTGCACAAGAGAAACTTTTTTTCTCACCTAAAAAAAAAAAAAATCAAGCTGGTGGCAAGTAGTCATCCGGGGACTCCTTCCTGCCTCCTCTCATTTAGACATTATCTTTGTCCTATTCAGGCTCCCCAAGATTCTCATTCTTCAACAGATCCTATCAGCTCTGTTTTTAACAATACTTCCCAAATCCACCCTCTCCTTTCCTCTCCTCACCACTTCCACAACCAGCACACTCGTGAGTCACCTGGCCTAGAGCCACAGCCTCCTCCTCACTGCTCTCTGCCTGCAGCCTGCACCCGCCCCCCAGTAGACTGCATTCTGTTTTCAGTAGCCGGGGGACCCTGCTAAGCTCTAAGAGACTTACCATCACTCCTCTGCTTACTACCCTCCCATGGCTCCTGCCTCTCTCTGGGAAACAGCTGAAGTCCTTAGTGTGGCCAGCAAGGTCCCCATGGTCGAACCCGTCTTTGTCCCCTCTCTGTCCTCCCCTGTTCCCCTTCTTCATCCCCCCTTAGTTCATTCTAACCACATTGGTCTCCTTCTATGGGAACTTGCTGGGACCTGCTTCATCCTACTCCTTGATCCCAAACACTCCCTGCCCCAGAAAACGTCCATGTGGATAGACCAGTAGAGACAGGAGGTAGTGAACCTGGCCCTTCTCTGCCACCTGAACCTCAGCCCTCCTTTTGCAAGGGCAATGCAGCAGGTACATTGTCCTTCCCACATCGTGGGCCCCCACTCAAGGGGTCTCCAAGGACTCTAACCTGCTACCTTTTACTTTCCTTGCTTCCCACTTCTCTCTATCCCTCCCAAATGCCAGTAAGGGAGGGATGGTCTACAGAAGGTATGTGGAGGATGCCAGCATCTCTCACACTGACAGATAACACCAGTATCCCCCCCACCCCGCCAGGAGGGAACAGGCACAGGGGCAGGAAATGAGGCCTCAGCTTCCAGAACTGGCCTGGTTTATAATTACATCAGAAGACACATGGAATGTTCAGACTCACGTCCACAGGGAACAAGGGATCATTTCTCTCAGGGCTGTCCCTGCAGTCAGCTCCCCAGGACTCATTGACAAGCCTACTTCTCACTCCCTGCCTTAAGCCCTCTCACATGCCAGCATCTGTTCAGCATCTACTATACCCAGGATTGTAGGAGTCCTCCAAACTGGAGACCACCCCTCCTACCTTACTGCCTTCCCTGGTTGCCCAGCACACACACAATATCTCTAGTGCTCAGATATGTCCCAACCAACTTAGAGACCCAACTAGTGAAAGCTTTGTTTTGAACTAATACTAGGGAGGGTTGGGTTTTCTATTGTTGTTGTTGGCTGATTTTTTTTTTTAAGATTTTTTTTTTTTTTCTGCTCACCTTTTTTTTTTTCCCCCTTCTTCTTCTCTTCACAAAGCCAGGCCCTCTGGTCCGCTCTGGGCTGTTCCAGAAAGGTGAGCGGAGTTGAGGAAAGAAATGATCTGCTTGTTGAGAGCCTAGAAGGTGGCATTGTTGGAGGTAGAAAAAAGAGGAAAAGGGCTGGGTTTTTGCCACTATATTTATTTTTATCATTTATTTATTTGTAATTTTGAATACTAACTACATAGTTGAGAGAGAGACACACCTGTGTGGGCCTCTGATTACGGTGGGGAGGGTCGAAGTGTACTACATTTATTCTTTGTGAATTGAAAGCTCTTTCTGATTTCTCTTCTCCAGGCCTGAAGGCAGTCTTGCAAAGGGATTGGAGCGGACACCAGAACTAGAACCTTGGGCCATGCAGAGGAGCCAGGAGTTAGAAGCCTCGGCCTTGGTGTATCAGGAGAAGGGCCTGGGGGTTGGTGTCACACATTGACCTGTGATTGGCGACAGAAGGCGCTGAAGTGAAGAAAATATTGATGACCTTCAAAGCACAGCAGCTTCAAGCCGCCAGAAGAATCTTCAAATCCCAGACCTTTCCTGTGACCATGAGGAATAGGGAAACCTGGGAGTTTGAAACCCAGCACCGCTTCTGCTTGCCAGCTCTGAAGGCTTGGGCAAAATCCTAGACTAACTAACTTCGCCCCAGCTGTGTAAGCATGTACTGTCCAGCTGGACATCGAAAGGCAACAGTAAGGCATGAATGTGATTGTGAGAAGTGTACAGTGCTGTGCCAGCATCTAGAAAGTTCAAGAGCCACATTAGCAGCACACATGGCACATCTTTGGGATCTTAAGCCCGCAGGAACTGGAATGTTATAAATTCAAGAAACTGAGAAGGCCGAGGGCCTCAGAGGCATCAGGCCATGATGTTGCTGCAATGTGAGAGGACCAGAGTTGCAAGGGGGCCTCTGGACATCTTTGTGAGGACAGATGCCTGAATTCTGGGCATGGGGGTTGGGAGCGGGGGAGCTGAAGGAAAGAGGCTTCCCAGTGGGGTGGCGAGCCGATCAACTTTCAGGCCATAAGATTCTCATCCCTTTCCTTGCTCAGTGACTCTCAGTGGATTCTGGGAACCCAGATTCTCAGACTTCTTGATTCTGTGAAATATGGGGGTTCGGATTGACCCCCTATTGTCTCTCCATGAAAGAAGCTCCACGGCCCTTACTCACTGTGGGGAGAGGGTCACAGGGCCATATAGAGACCCTCCCTTCCCCTAGACAGAGGCAGGGCTGGGGACTCTATCCATTCCATCTAAGGGGAAACTGAGGTCTCCACATCTGCCTGTAGCCTCTAACCCCCACAGTGCCATCCCTTTGTGCTGCTCCAAGATGCCCCTGTGATTTGAGTTCTTTACCCTCCTTTTCTTTTTTTTTTTTTTAACTCTACACACTTTTGTTTAAAAACCTGTGGTTTCTCACGAGCCCCGTTATCTCATTGATACCTCTCACCTCTGTGGTGAGGGGAAGAAATCATATTTTCAGATGACTCGTAAAGGGCAAAGAAAAAAAAACCCAAAATTTCAAAATTTCCGTTTAAGTCTCATAATCAAGACGAGGAGAAGACAGAGCGAGCAAGCAAGAGAGAAATCTATGAGAACCCCCCACCACCCCGTGATTATCAGCGAACACACTCATCGAAAAACAAATTTGGATTATTAGAAGAGAGAGGTCTGTGGCTTCCACGCCGTGGTTTTTTCTTCTCGGTATAAAAGCAAAGTTGTTTTTGCTATGTGACAGTTTCCCACAAGCCAGGCTGATCCTTTTCTGTCAGTCCACTTCACCAAGGTGAGTGCCCCGCTCATACCTCCCCCCCACCCGCTCAGACGTGGGCCCCGATGGAGGACTTGGCAGGGAGGTAAGCACTGGGAAGAAGTAGGGGACGGGGATCAAGGGCTCCCTTCCTCCCCCCACCCCACTGCCGGTACAATCAGACGCACCAAGCTACTTTGCTCTCCCGGTCAGGTAAGATCTTTTTTGAATCATAAGAATCATCTTGCTGAATGCTGGAAGGCTGATAGACAAAGTGTGTAATTGATACTGAGGTAGGCAAAGCTAATTGGATTGATAGATATGTGATGGAGAGGATTTTTTCAAGGATGTCAACTGCTAATTTTTGTGGATTTCAGAACTTTGCACCTCGGTATCACTGGAAATGTCAACTGCATCTCTCTCCTCTCGCAATGCCTCTCGTCCCTCGTTCTCTTCATCCTTCATCTCTGCCCCTCTCTTTCTCTCTTGTCATCGCTCCATCTGGCTCCCTCTCACTCAGACTCTCCATCCATCTGGCTTGCCCAGACTCTGCCTGTCTCCCCCGTCTCTGCCTCCTCCATCTTGGCCACCCTTCGTCTATCTCTTTCCCTCGCCCCTGCTCCCCTGCCACCTCTCCTACCATCTCCAGGATTCTTGTACACCTTCCCACCTATCCATACATGGTAACACCGTAGAAGAGTCACATTTTTACAAGCATGAGTGTCAAACTTCTGTTTGCCCCGGGGTAGTGGCAGGATCCGGGAGCTGTCAAGTTATCATGAGTGCTTAGCTGACTAGTGTCATTATGACAGGAGATCCCTTCTGGGGAGGGGGTCGCTTTTTGACATTGTCAACCAAGGCTTAGCTGTATGCCCTGAGTCTCGTGTTCAAGAAGAAAGTAGATGGCTTAGGGCTGCCATGAGTTTGTCTCTAAAGGCTTAGCCTGCGGCTTGGTGCACTGTAAGCACCCACTATGAGTTAGCTATAAGTATTGTAACCAGATTCGAGTCCTGCTAGTCACTAGGTTTGTCCTTCTTTCTTTAATTAATAGTAGCATTTCTGTAGCTCAGTAGGCATTGTTTGGACACCTGACTTTTCACAGCTGTTAAAACTGTCCTCACGTCAGCGTGAATTCTGCTGGATTTGCTCAACTGCCCAGTGGTGGATGTTTGTATTATTCCTATTCCTGTATTATCCCATGTTCGATGGGGTCTTTGGGTTCCTGAAAATGGAGTCAGTGGAGCAAAGGGAACGTGTATTTCTAAGAGCTCTGACTCCTCAGCAAGTTGTTCTCCCAAAAGACTGTCCTTTTGTTTTTTACTCCCTCTAATTGAGCTAATTCTGGGTATTATCATTTTTAATATTTTTCCAACTAATAGATAAGAAATCACCTTATTGTTGAAATTCAGTTACTTTTACTGTTGGTTACTTATGGTTGGGGGGGAGGTCATCTGGTCCTGCCCTTGGTCTTAATAGGGTATCCATCTTTTTTCTTATTGATTTGCCATAACTCTTTGTTTGAAAGGATACTTGCCTTCTATCAACCATATGTATAATGTGAATATTCTCCCTGAACCCATCATTTTCTTTTTCTGTTTGTTTATGGTGCTTTTTGTGATGCTTATGATGTTTTTATATAGTCAAATAGGTTAGTCTTTCCTTCTGTGGTTTCTAGCTCTGGTTTTGTGCTTAGAAAGTCCTTTCCCACTTGAAAATAAGATAAATGTTCACCTGTGTTGGCTTCTGCTCTCCTTTATGGCTTCATTTTTTCCATTGACTGTAGAAGTTAGAGTGTGGGTACTAGAGCCAGACTGTCTGAGACAAACCCAGCCTCACCCCAAGCCATCTGTGTGATTTTTAGCCAAGCACTCAACTTCTCCTTATCTCCATTTCCTCATGCTAAGGCACAGGACCTGACACATGACAAGACCAAGATGATGCTGAGATACTAAAAGGGGGGCCCTTCAATGAATCTCAAATTCATTTTAGAGTACATGATGATGGTGACATTTCAAACTGAACAGTGAGGGGATTGCTGAGAAAAATAGACTGATTATTCATCTAATTGCTCACTTTTCCCCCTAATTATCTCAGAAACCTTTGTGAAACAATCCATCTTTTCCCATCATCCATTGCAAATGCCATATTCACCCCAAATTCATGTCTTGCCATGCACACATTAGTGTCCAAGCTTGTTCTCTGTTCTGTTCCTCAACACCTGTCCTTGTCCTAGGGCCACGCTGCTTTGTGTAGCAACAACCAGCCCTGGGGGTCCCTGGTAGCCCATCTTGCCTCATTTTCCATGATGTCCAGAGGTTACAATTCCTCCAGGTAGAGACCAACAATTGTTATTTGAAGTGATTCTGTCTCTCTCACACACACACTCTTGCTCTCATCCTCCTTGTCTCGACCTTTGTGCAATTTCATGTCTCCATCTCTTTATTTTTAGTATTTATTTTTATTGGAAAGGCAGATTTGCAGAGAGAAGGAGAAAGAAAGATCTCCCGTCCACTGCTTCACTCCCAAAGTAGCTGCAACAGCCAGAGCTCAGCCAATCAAAAGTCAGGAACCAGGGACCTGGCAGTGTGGCCTAGCGGCTAAAGTCCTCGCCTTGAACACACTGGGATCCCATATGGTTGCCGGTTCTAATCCCAGCAGCTCCACTTCCCATCCAGCTCCCTGCTTGTGGTCTGGGAAAGCAGTTGAGGACGGCTCAAAGCATTGGGCCCCTGCACCCACATGGGAGACCCGGAAGAAGCTCCTGGCTCCTGGCTTTGGACTGGCACAGACCGGCTGTTGCGCTCACATGGGGAGTGAATCATCGGATGGACGATCTTCCTCTCTGTCTCTCCTCCACTATGTATATCTGACTTTCCAACAATAACAAAAAAAAATCTTTAAAAATAAAATAAAACAAAGTTAGGAACCAGGAGCCTCCACCAGGTCTCCCACATGGGTGCAGGGCTCTAAAGAGTTGGACCATCCTCTACTGTTTTGCCAAGCCACAAGCAGGGACCTGAATGGGAAACAGAGCAGCCAGGATACAAACTGGAGCCCACATGGGATGGTGACACCTGCAGGTGGAGAATTAGCTAGTTGAGCCATCATACTGGCCCCTCTGGTCCTTCCATCTCTTACTGTATCTCTTGTACCTCTTGTGCGTACTTTTTCTTCCTCCCTGTTTCCCTCCCTCTCTCCCTGTCTTTTAGCCAGTCTCTGGACAGAGGGGCAGTTGTCATCTTAAAGTGCCTCCTGACCCTCCTGTACCTGCTGCTTCTTCCCCACACCACTCCCCAGGGTAGAAATATCAAATTGAGGCCCGGGGCCAAGCAAAATGGCCTCTCTTAGTGGAACCCTGGCTCTGTTTCTTCACTCCACACTGTGAACTTCAATTTAACCTCTTCAACACCCTTGAGGGCCAAATGAAGGTATGGGCCACCATTCCCAATGCCACCTGCTCATGGGTCAGGCCCTCACATGAACAGTGGGCCCCACAGTCACAGTATGGGATCCAGCTGCACAGGAACTGGCCTGCGTGAGTTCACAGGCCCTTTGGGTGAAGAAGTCTAATTGGCCTGAGATGGGTAAGGATGGAGAGATGTCAGCCAGTCCATCCGTCTCTGTGTCTCTAGAGCTGCTACTGGTGTGTGAGGACCTTGAGTATGGCTGGGGTGGAGGTGGGTACCAAAGAGCCTGGCAAAGCTTGGGTGTTTCCTGCTCTCCCATCAGGTCCAAGTGGAAGGCCCAGTAGTCTTGAACTGCTCCTTATGTTCCCATAGCTGGCAGATGTGCCTGAGTTTGGGAACCTGGTCCCAGAATGGTCAGGGAGACAAAGGCCCTGTAGGCATCCACTGACCAACCACTGAGATGTCACTAAGCAGCTCACTCAGGTGCATTTACTTTGGAGGACCAGCACTATCACTGTTCCAACTTCCACCTGAGCCTGAAGACAGCTCAGGGTAGGCAAAGGGGCTGTGCCGACTCCAGCCTCCCCCAGGGAACTAACTAGGCAGGGAAGCTCTGGCAGGCACAGGGCGGGAAGCCCTGTGAAGCCAGGAACTTCTTGCTTGTGGGGAAGTTCCCATGCTTTGCAAGTCTTGGCTACACTTTCCGAGATATTGGGCCCATGGACCTGACAGAGGCTGTGAGGGTGAGATTTGAGTCTGGGTAAGGACATTCTTATGATCCTTAGGTGATTAAGTGCTATCCTGAGGACCTCAGGGGTCCCAGAATTGGTGGGCCCACCTGGTGCTCCTTAGGCTTCACATCTAGGGGCTCTCCATGGCGCAACCAAGGGCCAAGTCTATAAGGCTCAGGGCTTTGTCACGGTGGCCAGATGGACGTCACCCACCACATCCGCTGGCGCCTACTCCAGGATGGGCCAGCCAGTTCTCGGAACGAAACCCGTGGGGTGGGGTGTCTGCCCCCTTCTCTTCCTCCTCTGGGGCCAATGAAGCCCAGCGCATCCGGCCGCCATGACGTCAATGGCAGAAAAATCTGGGGAAGTTGGGGGCTGTGACAGCAGGGCCCGGATACAGACCCCGATAGGAAAACATACTCTGGGTCCCAGAAATTTCTTGCATGCCGCTTCTGAGAAACCTAGTCAGACAGTGCAGGAAGCCGGCTGCCCAGCCCTCCAGGTAACCCCCGCCACACACAGCAACAGCAGCAGCAGACAGACCATCTCCAAGTACCCTTTCTGAGAATGCATCGACACTTTGCTGAGGCGGACTGCACCACACATGTCTAGGGAGGAGATTTCTCATCAGCTCTGAGCCATACGTCCAAGGCAGCTGCCAGGCCAGAGCAGCACAAAACATCCACTCACTCACCAACATTGGTATTAGTTTACTCAGGCTGCTGTAATAAGGCCTGGCTAACTGAGTGGCTTGAATAACAGAAGTATACACTGGCCCCCTTGGACAGTAATGGGGGAGCCAGAAGTCCAAGGGTGACACTCAAGGACATCAGCAGGACTGGTTCCTTCTGAGAGCCAAGCGAGAGATATGCACATGTCTCCTAGCTTCTAAAATGGTGTTCCAGCCATTTTTGGCACTCCTTGGTTTGTAGGAGCATCACCCCATCGCTGCCTCCTTGCATTATTACCTGCTGATGTTCCCTCAGGCCCTTGCTCTGAGCCCACATATACCTGTAATCTTCTTGCTTCTTATAGGGTAAAGCTTTAGCCTTCCGAGACACTGGATCTCTCAGACCTGGATTCTCACATCCATCCCCATCAGCATCTCGACTGTAACATCCCTTGAAAGCTGACAGCAAGGAGAGGGACAGCTGTTCCCCCAGAATTATCTTGCACACTTCCCCAGGGCTGCTCTCATTAGCTATGTGCCCAACCTAGTGTTATGGGGTAGGATGGGGACGGACACACACACACACACAAGGAAAGAAATAGAGGTCTCCAGTTACCACAGGCCTATAGAAACCCTGTGCATGAGTGTCCCATTCAGTGAAACAGGCATGGCACTGGGCAGCCCTTTCCTGCCTTCGCTTCCTCTTCAACTGGCATTACAGGATCTTGCCCACTGGGGAGCAGAGCTCAACAGAGGGGCCTCGAGCCAGTTGTATAGAGGGCTTTGAGGATAAGGGAAAAGGTTAGGTCATGTGGGATTTGGATAAGGGAGGAAGAAAAGGAGTGGGCATTCCGAGCAGGACAGATCATACAAGCAAAGTGAGTGGAAATTGGAGTGACTGCTAATGGGGCTGGGGAACTCTCACAGGTCCTAGAGGAAGGGAAAGAGAGAAAGAGAAAAAAAAGAGAGGGAGACTTCTCTGCTGTGGTACCTGCCATACTGACTCCATGCAGTGCAGGAGCCTGGAACTGGCCAGACTCTGGTGTTCAGCCGCCCACCCAGCATGCCTACTCATCAGATCTAATACCAGACCATCTGTAATCATATACCCCTGGATTATCACTGCTGCTTCTATTCTCTCTCCTATGTCCCCTATCACAGATAGTATCTACCTGGGCTGCCAGCTGCCCAGGCTAAAATCCAGAAATCACTTTGGCCTCCCCTCTTGCAACCCCTGCACCCAAGTTCCAGCAACCTCTCCTGGCTCCACCTGGAAAAGCAGACTTAGAAGCTATTCACTTCTCACCAACTCCCCTACGCCTCATTCCCAGCCTATGCCACCAGCACCACTTGCCTGGACTGTTGCCATAACCTCCTTATTAGTCCTGTCTTTTCAAGTGCATGTTCAAGTCACAGGGAAGGTGGGGAGGTAGGGGGGGAAGAATCTAGCGAGCATCCCTGGCAGGATGGGCAAAGGTTGTGTTGGTTTGTGCAGGGTGCAGCAGGCAGGGGGACCAGGAGCTGAGGCTTGAAACCAGAGTGCAAGTCCAGGGGAACTGGCTGAGACTTACTCTGCCTGAGGCCCCACAAACCAATCACTTGTCACCCTGATGGAGGATGCATCCACACTAAATCTGTGCTGGCAGGCCCAGTGCCAGGCCTGTCCTGTGCTCCTGAGGGAGCAGAGGCACACATATGTGAATATACACATGCACTTGTATTTGTGATACCAATGTGTGCAGCCAGGAGGACTTGCCCAGGCTAATGACAATGTCCACATGGTTTAGAGGATGGTATCTTGCCCTACCCCAACACGTATGTGACTCCCTCTCCCTGTGTTCCCACAGCCTGCTCTCAGACAAGGACCCAATGCCCAACCCCAGGCCTACCAAGCCTTCGGCCCCTTCCTTGGCCCTTGGCTCATCCCCAGGAACTTCGCCCAGCTGGAAGCCAACACCCAAGGCCTCAGACCTATTGGGGGCGAAGAGCCCAGGGGGAACCTTCCAGGGCCGGGACATCCGAGGTGGAGCTCATACCTCCTCCTCCTCCTCTTCCTCCTTGAATCCCATGCCACCATCGCAACTGCAGGTGAGGCCCACAGCTCAGGATGGGGCAAGGCAGGGTGGGGTACCTGAGCCCACAGGTGTCGACCTTTACTGCAGCACCAGGCGGGGTGGAGGGGGGCTGGCTGGGGCACAGGAAGTGGTTTCTGGGTCCCAGGCAAGTCTGTGACTTATGCAGATGTCTCAGGGCCAAGAAAGTCCCCACCTGACAGGCCTCAGAGATTCAAGGTTCTCCTCAACTTCCCAATCCCTATCAGCAGAGGAGGGGACCCTATCATGGTGCCCTAGGCACAGGCATGGGTCCTCATCTACATGGGACAAGAGGAGAGGGCTGGGGCCCAAGGAGATGACAGGGTTGAAGCCAGCTCTTCCATGTATTTAGCCACTGGATCTTGAAACAGTCATTCCATCTTCAAGAGCCAATTTCCACACATGTATACTGGGGTTCCCACAGGGGTGCATGTGGGACTGTGGTGAGGAATGTACAAATTAGACACTGAGCAATGAAGATGAGGATGGCATCCCACCCACCTGCCTTTTCCCCTCAGCTGCCCACAGTGCCCCTAGTCATGGTGGCACCCTCTGGGGTGCGGCTGGGCCCTTCGCCCCACTTGCAGGCACTCCTGCAGGACAGGCCACACTTCATGCACCAGGTACGGACCCGCAGGGACGAGCAGGGAGGAGGGATCAGGTGGGGGGGGACTGTGGGGAGGGAGCCCGGAGCCAAGTTGAACTGCAGCCTATATGTACCCCCTTCTCCAACCCAGCTCTCAGCAGTGGATGCCCAGGCCCGGACCTCCGTGCTGCAGGTGCGCCCATTGGAGAGCCCAGCCATGCTCAGCCTCCCCCCACCGACCGCCACTGCCGGGGTCTTCTCCCTCAAGGCCCGACCCGGCCTGCCACCCGGTAACATCTCAACCTGGCACCCCACGGCTTCACAGAACCCGACTCCTCAAATCCTTGAACGTGAGCAGTACAGGCTATTCTCAATGGTGCCCTCACCCCCCACCCCCGACACCCAGAGGTCAGAGGAGTCAAGGCTGAGAGTCATGGAAACTCTGGCCTCCCAAAAATGTCAGGTTCTGAATGTTAAAGGTACAGAATATCAAACCTGCAGAACCACACGGCTTTACACAGTCAAAATGTCAGTACTTGCCAATGGCAGCCTTTGGAGCTGCTCTGTCTGCCAGCAGTCTGGGACTGAGGGGAGGGAGGGGAGGAGCACAGCGGCGCTGCTGGAGTTGGGCATTCAAGATTCAAGTGAGAGGCTCCAGCACTGTCCCATCTCCACCTGTAGGAATCAATGTGGCCAGCTTGGAGTGGGTGTCCAGGGAGCCAGCACTACTCTGCACCTTCCCGAGCTCCAGCACACCCAGGAAGGACAGGTTGGTGGGCAGAGCTGGGAAGGACCACCCCCTCACCCAGCCATCCCCTACTCTGACACTTAAGCCCACCCCACCTCCCCAATCCCCAGTACTCTTTCGGCTGCGCCCCAAGGCGCCTACCCATTGCTGGCTAATGGCGTGTGCAAGTGGCCAGGATGTGAGAAGGTCTTTGAGGAGCCTGAGGACTTTCTCAAGTAAGTAGCCACTAAGGGGTGGAAGCGGGGGGGGGGGGGGGTGGGCAGGGAGGAAGGGGTGGTCCCAGTTTGTGGGTGGAGGTCTGGGGTCCAGATTTCAACTCAGGCCTCAACCCAAGAGACAGAGCTGGAGACTGAGGGTTCAAATCCCTGCTCTGTTCTTCATTGGCTGGGTGAACTTGAACACATTAGCTTCACTGGGTCTCAGTTTCTTCGGACACATAGTGGAGCCTAACAATAAAGGTGGGTACTGTGATCTGCCTCCATTTTACAGACAAGGAAACTGAGGCCACTTAGAATAAATGTCTTGATCAAGCTCCCCTAGTTTCTAAGTGACAGAGCCAGGATCTGAATCCAAATCTGCTTTTGAATCCACTTTCTGGACTCCTAGCTGCTTTGCCTTGCTAGCCCTCGTGCTCACACAGCAGCCTGATGCTACAGATTCCCCAAGCCCTAGCTCCCTTGTGTATGACTACTGCTGCTCCCCTCAGCCCCATCTCTCTATCCCTCTCCCCTCACCCAACACTAGCAGCAATTTAGCAAAGCTGTCCACCCCCACCCACCCAGACTGCCTTTCCCTCTTGTACTTGCTCGGCCCACTCTCAAGCTCACCACCCCCTTCCAGCACTATCTCCAGCACCATACCCAGGCTCAAATGGCCAGCTCAGGCCTGGCACCAAATAGGTGTGCTTATTGACAAAAGGAGGGCCAGGTTTGAGGAGGGAAACTGTGGGAGATAGGGAAGAGGAGCTGAGACTCAGAGATGTCCCACAGCATCTGAGCACTTAGAAAACCGAACCAGGAGGCCAGGCCCACTATGGTTACCTGCCCACTATCTTCCTCCTACCTAGGCACTGCCAGGCAGACCACCTCCTGGACGAGAAGGGCAGGGCGCAGTGTCTCCTCCAGAGAGAGGTGGTACAGTCTCTAGAGCAGCAGGTACGTTGGGAGGAGAGGAAGGATGGGGGATGCCCACCTGTGCCAGCAATAGAGTTGGATCTGGATGATCATGGTTGGGGTAAAACTGTGGCAGACAAAGGCAAGGTAGAGGCCTCACTGTTGTACCTGCCCTCACAGCTGGTGCTGGAGAAGGAGAAGCTGGATGCTATGCAGGCCCACCTGGCCCGCAAAATGTCACTGAACAAGGATCCATCTGTGGTGAGCAAGCCCCAGCTTAGATGCGAGCCCCAACCCAGGTCCAAGCATGCCCAGCCCTGGAAAACCAGTCCTCTTCCACTCCTACACCTCCCGATCCTGTAATTCCCAAACAGTGTAACCCTGAGTCTACAAAGCAAGGCAAAGAGCCACTTTCCCAGTGGAGACTGTCCCCACACAGAAGCCCCATCATCTCCAGGGTGTGGCACAAAATCAAAGTGCAGGGCTCCAGGTTCCAATTTCCACATGGTGTCCCCAGGGCATTGAACAAAACCCAGGCAGGGCAGCTGGGGGTGAGGGGAGTCACACAGCACAGCCCCGAAACCAGCCCCCCACCCTGGGTGTCAGAACACCTATGGGAGCCATTGCTAGTGCTAAGTTCTTCAAGGCTTATGATGCCACTAGGAGATAGCTCCAATTCCTCGAGGACAATCGAGACCTGGAAGGTGGGTGACTTTCCTGAGGTTGTAGTTAAGTAGAAGCAAAGCCTGATTCAACCCATCCTGGCTCCTGGCCTCAATACTGGTGGCTCCCTAGAGTCCACATAATGCTCTACTCCGTAAAACTCAGGCTACTTTGTGCGATTGCATGCATAACTGGAAATAGAGGGTGCTCTTGGTTGTACTGGCCTTATTTATTTGTTTGAAAGGAAGAGTTACAGAGAGAGGGAAGGAGAGAGATCTTCCATCTGCTGGTTCATTCCCCAAATAGTCATAATGGGCAGAGTTAGGCCAGAAGCCAGGAGCTTCTTCAAAGCTCCCATGTGGCTGCAGAGGACCAAGGACTCAGGTCATCTTTCTCTGCTTTCCCAGGTATGTTAGTAGAGTTGTATTAGAAATGGAGCAGCCAGGACTTGATCTGTGCCAATATGGGATGCTGACACTATAGGTGACAGCTTTACATATTACACCACAATGCCAGCCCCTAGTGCCCTCAACTTTAACACTGATTCAAGATTGAAATGGGATGTGGGCACTGTGGCATAGTGGGTTAAGCTGCTGCATGGGACACCTGCATCCCATATCTAAGTCCCAGTTCAAGACCCACCTACTATGCTTCATACCTACCTACTATGCTTCAGACCCAGGTCCCTGCAAATGCACACCTTGAGAGGTAGCAGAAGATTGCCTGAGTGCTTGAGTCGCTGCCACCCTTGTGGGAGACCTCGATGGAGTTCTTGACTCCTGGCTTCTTCCTGGACTGGCTGCTGTGGCCATTTGTGGAATGAAGCAGCAAATGGAAGATCTCTTTCTCTCTCTCTCTCTCTCTCTCTCTGCCTTTCAAATAAATCTTAAAGAAAAAAAAAAAGCCTAAGTCAAAGGGCAGGTATGTGGTACAGTATAGGTGACATGTTGAGATACCTGTGTCCCATATTGAAATTGCTGGGTTTGAGCCCAGGCCCCACCTCCAATGCTAGTTTTCCACTAATATGTGCACCCCCTTGGAGGCAATAGATGGGTCTCTGCTACCTCCATAGCCAAGGAGTCCTGGGGTGGGGAATGGTGAGAGGTACTTGGATGGAGTTCCTGAATACTGCCTTTAGCCTGCTTCAGCCACTGCTGTTGCAGGCACTTGCGGGGGGGGGGGGGGGGGCGTGAGGCCTGGTGGATGGGAGATCTGCCTGTCTGTGGCTCTCTGCCTCTTGAATTACAAAGTCAGATTAAAAAAAAAAAAATGAAGTGGAGACATGAGGCCTATGAGTCACCAGCCTCTCGTCCTACCCACAGGCGCCATCTGACAAGGGGTCCTGCTGCATCGTAGCTGCTGGCGCCCAGGGCAGCATTGGGCCTGCCTGGCCCAGCTCCCAGGAAGCCTCAGACAGCCTGTTCGCGGTACGGAGGCACCTGTGGGGTAGCCATGGCAACAGCACATTCCCAGGTAAGAAGGGTCTGTGCCCTACACGGTGACCCCCAGAGTCCTTGTCCTGGCTGGTTCTGGGGTTCTATGTGGGTTGGGAGGAGTTCCAAAGGAGCTCCAGGCCGCCCTTCCCCCAGCCCCAGCCTTCAGGAGAAGGCATTTGCTTGCTTTTGCAAGCTTTTGCTTCCTCTCTGCATGTCAGGATTTCCTGAAAGTCTCCATCCACGTCTCAGACAGCTTGCTCTAGCCCTGCCTCCCTTGGGACGTGCGCTTCAGCTGCTCCATGCAGCCTTCTTACCCCTTCCCCCACCAAGGCAAACGTTGCACATATGCCCAAGCCTGCTGATCCCCTGGCTATCTGCCAGGCCTGGGCTACAGGACTGTCAGAGACCAGAGCCACTGAGTGTCACCCTGGCTCGGCTACCTCACCCCTTACATCCCTTTGCTCTGCAAGTGACATTGCTGCCTCTCAACCTCAGCGGGAACCATTAGGGCAAGGAGTGTTGCAACAGCAAAAGCTGCATCAGGTGCTCAGCAAACAGTACCTACATATGACAACAGCCCTGGTGTCAGCTGTCAGGGACAGGGGTACTGGGACAGGGACCTAGGAGGCCTGGGACAGGACCTGATGGCTCCCTACACACCCCCTCCACCCTCTGACAGAGTTCTTCCACAACATGGACTACTTCAAGTTCCACAACATGAGGCCCCCTTTCACCTACGCCACCCTCATCCGCTGGGTAAGCTGGGCAGCTGGGGCCCATGAGAGAGGAAATGAAGGGGAGTGGTACTTTCACCTCAGACTTGTCCCCAAACACAAATCTAATCCACCATCCCTTGATGGGGGTAGGGGGTAAGTCAAATCTGACGCTAAGCCCACCCCTTCCCAGAGGCTCACCTCAAGCCCGATCTAACCCTTTGTCTTTCCTGGGCCTATAAAATAGCTCCCGAACCACTTGTGTGTTAGGCCCCCTGCCCTAAATCCACCCCAGGTCTTATTCTCACTCCTTCTTTAGCCTTTTTTTTTTTTTTGCCAGTGTAACCCCCAATCTCCCCCAAGGCCTGACGTATTGCTGCCACAGACCTCATCCTTGACCTAGTGCCATGTGTGATCCCATACCGCACCACTAAATTTGCCCCAGCCTCTTACCCCTTCCCTGACTTTTAACTCTCCCTGTCCCTTTTACCCTTTCCAAATCCTTAACCCAGCTGCGCTCCCGACCCTTTTTTGCCTCCCCAAACCTGGTGTCGCCCCCACAGAGAACCCCAACCCCAACTCCATCCCAGACCTGTTATCTCACTCCAACTCTTACTTCTGGCCTCAGCCCTGATCCTTCACCTAACCCCAACCTGACCGCATCCATACCCCCCACCCTTGATTCCATGTCTCGTTCCATATCTCATCCTGCCCCTGCTCCATCACCCAATACCATCTCACTCCCTGCCTCTCCCATTGCCCCCCAATGAATACACACTCACATCAGGGTAGGCCACCAACTTTGAGGGGTACCCCCTCTTTTTCCATTTTCACCACCTCCAGGCCATTCTGGAGGCTCCAGAGAAGCAGCGGACGCTCAATGAAATCTACCACTGGTTCACACGCATGTTCGCCTTCTTCCGAAACCACCCTGCCACCTGGAAGGTGAGTGCCTCTGCCAGGGTGGTGGCAGGGGTGCAGGCCTGGTGCTGGGTTGGTGGGGTGGCCATGTGGCTGGTTGCAGGAGAGGGGTGCACTTGTTCCTCACCCAGCTGCTCTGCCTCCCACAGAATGCCATCCGCCATAACCTGAGCCTGCACAAGTGCTTCGTGCGGGTAGAGAGTGAGAAGGGGGCCGTGTGGACCGTGGATGAGTTCGAATTCCGCAAGAAAAGGAGCCAGAGGACCAGCAGGTGCTCCAACCCTACACCTGGCCCCTAACTACAAAGAAAGGAAAGAAGCAAGGGCAGAAGGGCCAAAATGGAGTTAGGGTGGTGGGGGCAGAGGTGGCTGATGAGGCAGGAGTGACGGGCCCTGGACAAGCCTACAGGGACCAGAAAGTGAAGTGTTCAATGTCCTACTTGCCAGGGCCCTTTTTTTCCAGCCAGCTGCCCTCCCAGATCCTATCTTCTGCCCCGAGGCTGTTTAGGAGACCCCCAGCCCAGCCCCACCTCTCCCTTCCCCTCCCCTCCCAGATGGGCTCTCCAACCTTAGGGTGTCTTCACAACCAGCCCCATACAGCAGCCTGCCTTAGCCACGCTTAAGCGGGGCCTCAGGGCTGCCTTGGATTCAACACAACCACAAACACCCAAAGCCTGCCTCAGCAGCTGAGACAAGCTCAGAGCTGGGGCAATCCCCTACACCATCACACATGAGCCTCATGCCTCACAGCAGCACCTACAACCAGCCCGTGGACCCACAGCACAAACAGCATCAGAGGCTCAGGTTCCTGAAAGCCACTCAGATTCGGAACTGGTCAGGCATGGTCACCTGCAGTTCCAACGTACCTGCACATTTCCACACACAACCTACATATGGTGCATGGGTTTGCAAACACACACACACACGCATGTGCAGACACAGCTACATGTACTGACTGCCAAGACATACCCATGTCTCAATTCCCACCACACTTCCCAGCCCTGAAACCCAATCTGTGCCTCAAGCCTAGACTGTACAAGAGCCCCTCATTTTATTTTGGGGATCCAAGGTCCCCCAACCCCCAACACCTCCCCCAATAAACTGTGGCCAAACTCCCCCACACTGGACGGTCACCCCTGGAATAAGGGTTGTGTTCAAATGAGCGAGGAGGGGGGTGGAGTCCAAGGCAGCAGCTGGAGGGACCGCCTGCATAGCACACAGAGGACCGGGCAAGAGGCCTGTGCTGGGCTGGAGCCTCCAGCCACACCCCAGATCTCTGCCTCAGGCTGGGCTGGGCAGAACCCCTGGCCAGGAGCTCTTCAGACTTCCCGGATGCGGCCCAGGAGGTTGGCGTTCTCCTGGCGCAGGGCTCGGTAGTCCTCCTGGATCTTCTCCAGGTTGCTCAGGGTCTTCTTGCCCATCTCGGTCTCGATCTAAGGCGAAGTGAACACACCCTCTCAGCACACACACCTTGCTCCATTAGGGCCTCTTTGGGCAGCCCCTTCTCCCATCCCCACCCCCATAAAAGCTCGCTCAATTCCAGCCCTCCCAGGTCTTTGCACACACCCCATCTTTTGCCCTAGGGCAGGATTCCCCACCAAGTCTTCCAGCCGGTGGGTCTCTGGTGAATGGTCTTGGGAGGCAGGTGTGGGCCAGAAGCCTTCCAGAGTTCAGAGAGTAGGTCCCAGGTCTGGCCCAGCTCCGCACACAGGCAAAAAAGGGTGGGGCCAGGCCTCCTGCCCTGGGCTGCCTCTGGCTCCATAACCCCAACCCCAGGCCTTACCTGCTCCTCCAGGTCGCGCACCTCCCGCATGATACTGCCTGTATCCTCAATAGTCTGGATAAGCTGGCTGCAGTTCTGGGGACAGGAGTGCAAAGCTGGCACCCAAGTCGGCTCTGCCCCCAGCCAGGCCCCTTCTCCAGGCATGCTACTCCCCTCACCTCGTGCAGGGCAGCTAGGTACTTGTAGGCTTTCCGAGCAGCATCATCCTTCTTGGCATCCTAACCAAAGGAGAGCTCAAAGGTTTTGGTGGCTACCCCCGTGCTGATTCCCAATACCTCCCCTTACATGCCCCCACAAGGCCACCCTCTCCCCGCTACTTGACTTGATTCTCCGCAGAGCACAACAAGCCCCCACCCCACTCCAGCAGCAGTGTCCTCCAAGTAGCCAACCCCACACCACCAAACCCTTCCCAGCCAACCTGAGCTGCCCCGCACCTTGAAAACAAGTTCATCCGTCACTGCAAACGTCCGGTCCAGCTTGCCGGAGAGGGAGTTGATTTCCTTCTGAAGCTCCTTCGTGTCAGATAAGATCTGGCCAATAGCACAGGGGCCATGAGCCCATGTGTAGGGTATGGGGGTGTTGGGGCAGTGGCGGGGGGCGGATAGAGGGCAGGGGAATGGGGATGGCCAGCAAAGGGTACCCATGTATAATGTGACCACATCTGATCTTGGCCCGTGTCACTGCATAAGGGGTGCCTGGGGCAGGCTCTGTGTGGCTTTTCTGTGTCAGGGTGTGGCCATGCTATGCCTATCCGCCTACACAGCTCACCCTCTACCACACCGTTGGTGTACCTTTGTGATTTCTTCCTTCTGCTTCCGGATATTGCCCACAATCTCCAGGATGCGCTGGGTGTAGGCCAGCCGGGACACATCTCTTGGCAAGGTCTCCAGTTCTGATACCTAGGTGGGGCACAACAGGCATTCTCCCTGGGCCTGCAGCCCCTGCCCAACCCAAGTCCCCAGGACGCCACGCCCCCTGAACAGGCCTTACCAGCTGTTTGTAGACCTCCTCCTTCCTGCGGGCCTCCTCAGCAGCTGCCCGAACGCTCTGGTGCAGCTCCTGGATCTCCGCCAGCCGTCGAGAAGATTCCAGCTGCCAGGAGCCCAGGGACACAAGGGCAGTGAGCACAGTGCAGGGCTGGCCCCCTTTGGATGGACCAACATGCCTTAGCCAACAGCTCTGGAATCACACCCCATAAACCACCACCTACCTCTCGGCAATCCTGGAGCTTTCGGAGGTGGCGGTACTCAGCAAGGAGTGGGACTCGGTGCTTCTCCCACTGACCCGCCAGGTGGATGACCCGCTGGGCACTGCTCTCTACCACGAGCTGAATGGGATGAGACGTGTCACAGGCGAGGCCTCCCAAAGCCACCCTCCCCACCCGGCACCAGACCCAGCCCACCTGCAGCTTGGCGAGGTTGGCAGCCCCGTCAGGCAGCAGCTCCACCGCGCGGCTCTTCAGGCGCAGGGCCTGCTCTTGCTCCGCTGTGCTGAGCTCCCTCTGCCGGCACTCGCTCTCCACCTGGCATGCCGGTGACCCACCCCCCACAGGTGACGACATGGCCTCTAGACCTCAAACCTCTGACACATCCAGCTGCACCCTGGGGGCTCCTCACAGCCACCTCTAAGGCCTGATGCCCGATGCCCACAGATGCCTTTAAGCCCTCCAGGTCTGCCGAGCAACCGCCACCACACCTCTCCCCATGCCCATTCTCCTGAACACTCAAGAGCCTCACAGATCTCTCAGTGTCCCCCACAAACCCTTACAGCATCTGCAGAACTCCCTCTGGGCCCTCTCAAGTCCCTTGAGCCTTTGGAAGAACTACCTGTGCCCTGAGGCAGCCCCTTACCTGCACAAGGCTCATTCCCAGCGTCTTCATGTCCGCTTCAACCTCTTCAATGTTGCGGTTCACTCCCTCCAGCTGCTGCCGAAGGGACTCTAACTCCTGTTCCTGAGCTGCCCGCGTGTCCTGCAGAGGGAGAAGGACACAGGTTAGACAGAGTGTGAGTGTCAGGCCTGGCCCAGCTTGGCAGACAGGCAAGGGCACAAGATGTCCCCCAGTGCTCCGCTCACCTGCTCAGGTCGCCGCGAGGTGGCTGGCGTATCTGCTGTCTCTGCTGCTTGGACCTCAGGCTCCTAGGAAGAGTGGGGAGGGGGGAGGTGGGAGCGGGGCGGCGACAGTCAGGGAGAGCCCCAACACTGCTCTGCACTGTGCCTGGGCCCAAGGAACTGCTGGTAACTGCCACACAGTGCTCAGACCAGAACATCTGCTCACAGGAAAGCCTCTGTGATCCTGCCATATCTGGTACCCACCTGTCCCACCTCTCAGGCTCCAAAGGACCATGAGAAGGATGAGGCCCTCCTAGGTGAACGTGTAAGGACAAGGGGAAACTGCCCAGGGAGAATAGGGTTGGCACGAAGAGTCCGCTCATATGCTCCCTCCCAGTCCCACTCTATGCACCTTCTCTCCACTGAGGGCCCCAGGAAGCTGGGGATCAACCCCTCTGTGCATCCACCTCACAGTGGGAAAGGGGGCCTGCCAAGTAGGTGAAGTGCGGCATTCAGACCCAAAAACAAGGGCCAGGCCCTGTCAACTAGCCCACATCCACCAAGGCACACTTACCAGCTGGAAGGTGAACTTCTCGGAATGTGTAAAGCGAGAGCCCTTGGCAGCACCCGTCTTGGCCCCAGCACCCCAGGCATGCAGTAGCTCTCCCAGATCTCGGGTCTGTGTGGAGGCCCCAAGAGGGCCCCAGTTTTGGCGTAGATACTCAGCTAGCTGCTTGTGTAGCCGCTGCTGCTGGGCCCGGGCATCTTCCTGGGAAGAAAAGACAGGGTAACAGGAGGCTGTGGAGACCTATCTGCATGCCCCTCAACCACCCACCCACGTACACCCTGCCCCAGACCCTGCCTCCTCTAAGAGGCCACCAACAAGGCACGATGGACAAGTCATACCCATCCTCTTACCCTCCCTGACCTAGGCCTCTGCCTCTAGGATCCCCACCGCAGATGAGGGCTCCACTGCTTCTCTACCAACCCGCTCCCCCCTCACAAAACAGGATATGGAGAGGAGGAGAAGCCTGAGACCCCCAAATCAGAGAAGCATGGGAAGGATGTGAGGGGAGAGGGCAAAGACAGAACCAAAGGTGCCCAACAAAGAAAGGGGGTAAAGACAAACTGAGAGACAAGCACACAGTTTGAAGACAACAGGGGAAATCAGACTATGAACTCAGGGTTCAATGGTATTAAGAGACACTGTGAAGTTCATTAGGTTGTGAAAACGCCCAGTGGTGTTTACAAAATAATAATAATAATAATATTATTATTATTATTATTATTATTGGTTGGGGCTGGGGTTGTGGTGTAGTGGGTTTAAGCCCCTTGGGACACCAGGATCCCACATCAGAGTGCCAGTTCAAGTGCCAGCTGTTTTGCATCTGGCCCATGCATTTGGGATCCGTGATCCGTACAGAACACCTGGAAGAAGCTCCTGGCTCCAGAATTCAGATCAATTCAGCTCCAGCCATTGCAAACATTTGAAGAGTATTGGAGAGTGAACCAGTGCATGGAAGACCTTTCTCTGTGTCTCTCCTTCTCTCTCTAAATCTACCTTTCCAATAAAAATAAATAATTTTTAAAATAAAAAATTATTTAAAAAACAGCAAATAATATCTCTCAAATAAATTATTTTTTAAAAACTTGGTGGAGCATAGAGGAAGAAAGATCGACAAAATGGTATGTAGAATTAACCAGAATAGTCTACATTTATGTCTGGAAATTCCTACACATTTAAAAGAGAGAGACAAAGACAAAACAAATAGCAGCATGGAGGTAAGGGAACAAAGAAAAAGACAACTACAGAGGCAGGCCATGGGAAAGAGAACAGAGAAAGAGCTTAACAGAGGGGTGGGGAACAGACAGAAGTAGACCAAGGGGGAAGTGGCAGATAAAGAAGTTGACAGGGGGAGGAGGGAGAGACACAAGGTAGACAGGAAAGAGAAGATGAATACAGGGGGAGGCAGGGAGCAGAGGGCAAAGGGCAGATGGGTGGACAGAGAGGCAGAGGCAGTGGGCAGACAAGAGGAAACACTACAACGGGCAATAAACCCCCAGATTGAAAGTGACAGTGCAGCAAAGACAGGAAGAGATGGTGTAGGAACATGCAGACATGCATACTGTGACACCTGCAGCAAGAGGGAGTGTGAGGGAGCTGGAGGCAGGAGGGTGGCAGTGGTGACAGCGAGGAAGGCCAGGATCCTGGCTGCTCACTTTGTACACAGGACCCAGTCTGACCTTGGCCATGAGTGGAGGGGCATGGCGCGCCAGCCCCCCCCCCTTTTTTTTTTTTTTTAGAATAAGAATCTGAGGCCCTGAGGAGGGCTACCAACTTGTCCTGGGTCCAGTCTTTCTCCCTGCAGTATTCTTTCGACTGCAGGTGCATGCAGATGCCAAGCCAGAAAGAGGGATGAGCTGGGCCACAGGCGGAGAGCAGAGAGCAACTAGAAGACAAAATGGGGAGCAGCAGCTGAGAGGAGGACCCTGGATGGCATGGCACGGACCAAGCACCAGACTGTACCTGCTGTTGGAGGCGAGACGCGCGATGGCCCCAGTCCTCATCCCCTGGGCGGTCCCGGCCTGCACGCTGGCACATTTGGATGGCATGGTGTTCCAGGAGCGAGGCTGCCCTCACAGCAAGCTGGGGCACCTGCATGGGGGCTGGTGGCAGCAGAGAACTCGCCTGGAAGTCCCGTAGCTCTAGAGACAGGGACACAGTGAACCAGACACCAACCCGACCAGAACCCCACAGTCAGCTCCGGCTTGCCTCCACACGGCTACCCGCCCCAGTCTTGGCCACAGCCACATCCTCACCACCTCTGGAGCTCATATCGGACATGACCAGCCTGCTGGTGTGGAGTGGCTTCTGGAGAGCTGAGCCCTAGAGGGAGAGCAGAGTCAGAGCATGACAGGAGACATGGGAGAGGTGACCCAGCAATGTGGGCAGCCAACGAGAACAGGTAAAGCAAGGCAGGGATAAGCGAAGATGGGCAGGAGTGGGCAGGGTGGGAGGGAGGAATCCCCACCTGCAGACGCTGCACCTTGGGAGTGCGAAGAAGGGGCGGGACCCAGGGCAGGGCTAGCTGACCCCGGATTTGGCTCCCAATGGCCCGGAGGAGAACAGCAGAGTCACCTGTTGTGGGTGGGGAAGGAGTGTTCACCAGGTGATAATGTGGGGCTCTAAAGTATACACCCTGAGAAGCCAGTCTTGGCTCCTGGGCCCCAATCAGGGGATGACGATCTACCCAGCTGTAGCCCTTTCACATTCACTCAATAGACACTGTGCACCTGCCAGGTAATCAGGCGCTGTACTAGATACTAAAATGCTCTGAGGAACAAAGTCCCAAGGATCCTGGCTCTCCTCAGGCGGGCAAGCTGCTAGACAGGGACCACCAACAGGATGGTGGCTTTCATCCAGCAGCAGAGCACATCCAGGGGCTGAGAGGAGGAGGTGGCCAGCTGGGAGCAGCCAGGGGCAAGCCTCCCAGAGGCAACTACTAAAGGGAAAGCTTCAGAGAGGTGAAAGGAGGATGCAGGAGGAGGCCTAGGGGAAGAGGACTCTGACGCAAAGACCTGGAGGCTGGCGGGCAGGGCACCAGTATAGCTCCAGGGGCAATGCAGGGATGGCAAAAGAGAAAAAAGGCAGGAAGGACTTCAGGAGGGCCCGCCCAGCACCCACTCAGCTGACCTGCGATGCACCCCCCAGCCCTCAGCCACCTGCCCCAGATCCCCTTTGACCCCAAATGCTCTCTCCTTGGTCTCTCCAAGACACATTTACCCCAACCCACCCTTCAAGCTGCTCGTCTGCTGTACGTCTCTGTTCCTTCCCACCCCAGGAAGGCCCAAGTCTACCTACATCTCCCTAGCACCCCCACAGCCTAGGTCCCCAGACCTGCAGGCTGGTCAGCATCTTCGGAGGCATCGGCAGGTAGGCGCTCGGCCAAGAAGAGCAGCAGGTCTCGGAGGTCAGGCTCACTGGGGTACAGGAAGTTCTGGTAGCCAAGCTCCAAAGGATAGCCCAGGTCCTAGTGGTGAGCAGGGACAAATGAGGCAGGTGACAAGGCCTCAACTTCACAGGCAGGGTCCTGCTGCCCTGAGAGCCACGTACCCAGGCTCCAGGCCTCCCACTATCCCCACCTCAGGCATTGCCCTCCAAGCTTCCCTCTGGAGCCTCATAGCCTCCAGGCCTCCAGCAGCCTGTCATAGACTGGTCAATGCTATCCATCAAGAGTAAGAAATAAGGTTAAAGCTCAGGCCTTTCAAACTGTGACTCAATCCAGAAGCAAAAACAAAAAAGGAGAGAGGCACATCCGCATGCCTGAAAAGAAATCAAAACTTCAAAATAAACACATAATTAGCAATGACAACCCGGGGATAGTTAAAGCCCATCTGATAAGCACAGAAACAAATACCATATCAGGACCAGCGCTATAGCTTAGCAAGCTGAGCCTCAGCCCGTGGTGCTGGCACCTGTTACAGGTACCAGTTTGAGTCCTTGCTGCTTTCAGTTCCATTCCAGCTCTCTGCTTGTGGCCTGAGAAAGCAGTGGAGGATGGCCGAAACCCTTGGGACCCTGCACCCACATGGGAGAATCAGAAAAGCTACTGGTTCCCAGCTTCAGACCGGCCCAACTGTGGCCACTGTGGCCACTGTGGCCATTTGGGGAGTGAACCAACAAATGGAAGATTCATTTTCTCTCTCTCAGACTTTCAAGTGCAATAAATTTTTTTTTCATTGAATAAACTTAAACTACTTCACAACACTGAAATTGGAACATAGGTTATTTTCTTTTTTTAAGATTTGTTCATTGGGCCCAACACAGTGGCCTGGCGGCTAAAGTCCTCACCTTGAACACACTTGGATCCCATATGAGTACTGGTTCTATTTTTTTTTTTTTTAAGATTTATTTATTTATCGGAAAGTCAGATATACAGAGGAGGAGAGACAAAGAGGAAGATCTTCCATCCGATGATTCACTCCCCAAGTGAGCGCAACAACCAATGCTACGCTGATCTGAAGCCAGGATCCAGGAACTTCTTTCATGTATCCCACACGGGTGCAGGGTCCCAAAGCTTTGGGCTGTCCTCGATTGCTTTCCCAGGCCACAAGCAGGGAGCTGGATGGGAAGTGGAGCTGCCAGGATTAGAACCGGCGCCCATATGGGATCCTGGCACGTTCAAGGCGAAAACTTTAGCTGCTAGGCCACGCCGCTGGGCCCGAGTGCTGGTTCTAATCCCAGCAGCCCCACTTCTTACCCAACTCCCTGCTTGTGGCCTGGGAAAGCATTCAAGAATGGCCCAAAGCCTTGGGACCCTGCACCCGTGTGGAAGACCTGGAAGGAGTTCCTGGCTCCTGGTTTCAGATTGCCACAGACTGGTCATTGCAGTCGCTTGGGGAGTGAATCATCTGGCAGAAGATCTTCCTCTCTGTCTCTCCTCCTCTCTGTATATCTGCCTTTGCAATAAAAATAAATAAATCTTTTTTTAAAAAGGATTTATTTATTTACTTTATTGGAAAGGCAGATATACAGAGAGAGAGAGGAAGATCTTCCATCTGCTGATTCACTCCCCAAGCAGCTGCAACAGCCAGGACTGAGCCAATCTGAAGCCAGGAGCCTCTTCCACATCTGGGCCAGTCTGAAGCTGGGAACCAGGAGCTCTTCTGATTCTCCCACGCAGGTGCAGGGTCCCAAGGCTTTGGGCTGTCCTCGACTGCTTTCCCAGGCCACAAGCAGGGAGCTGGATGGGAAGTAGAGCTGCCGGGATTAGAACCGGTACCCATAAAGGATCCCAGCGCATCCAAAGTGAGGACTTTAGCCACTAGGCTATCATGCCAGGCCCAAAATAAGTAGTTTCTTTAAAAAAGAATCAATCAATGTATCATAGAATGCTCAACAAATAAACAGGCAAAAGGAATCAGCAACATAAGAGCTCAAAATGAAAGGACTCCTTGGGCTCATGTTGTGGTGCAGCCGCTTGAGCCACAGCTTATGATACTAGCATCCTGTACTGGAGTTCCAGTTCAAGTTGCAGCTGCTCTGCTTCAGCTTCAACTCCCTGCTCATGAACGTCAAAGGCAATGGAACATGATCTGAGTGCCTGGGACCCTGTCACCCATTTGGGAGACCCAAATGGGGTGCCTGGCCCCTGGCTTCAGCCTGGCGCAGCCCCAGCCATGACAGCCCTCTGGGGAATGATTCTGTTAAGGGAAGATCTCTGTCTCTCTGTCTCTCCCTTTGTCTGTCACTCTACCTTTCAACTAAATAAATAAATCTTTAAGAAAGGGGATTGGGGGAGGGTGAGGAAGGTTCCAGAGAGTTCTGGAGAGAAAGACAGCCTTTTTCTCCAGAATTGCTGCTTTTCCAAACTGTGAACTAAAAGCCAACCTCCTAGTTCAAGTTTAGGCTTTGCACCTCTACTCACTGTGTGCCCGGGGGAAAGCATTAACTCCCTGCACCTCACTGTCTTCCCTTAAAGGAAGAGATAGCGACCATTCCCACATCAGCAGGGGTGTGCTGGGTCACAGTACAAGACATATGGCATCACACAGGGTCATGGTAAAAAAAAAAAAAGTGTAAAAACCACTGGCTTTCAAGCTACTTTCCTCTGGGTTTTTTCCAAAATCTGTGATCAAAGAGCTGTGACTGATACAGAAACGCATTCCAGGAGTGGGTGTGTGCAGCGATATACACCAAAGTATGGAGGTGGCTGGGGCTTGGTAACTGGTGACAGGAGCAGGGGGCAGGGCAAAGACACCAGAAAGCAGCAGTGGTGACCCAAGCTAAGGAACGGCACCCTTCCAGCTGCCACTGGCAACCCAGACTGCTGGGGCCAGACCACTGCCTGTACCTCGTGACCACTCTAACAGCCAGGATCTCTGTTCCCCAAGCCAAAGTCAGTGCGAGCCAAAATGCAATGGGAGACAGCACTGACAGCTGGGGGTGGGGTGAAGGGGCAGAGGGTGTGCCTGACTCCCTCCACTCCCCACCTCAGTATCTCCCACTGTACCCCCTCCCTGGACAACAGAAGACAGAACATCACCCCTATAAAGTGCCACACTTAGCAGGCCCAGCGCAGTAGCAGCAGCTAGAGTACTCGCCTTGCACACGCCAGGATCCCATATGAGTTCTAATCCTGGCAGCCCCGCTTCCCATCCAGCTCCCTGCTTATGGCCTGGGAAAGCAGTCAAGAACGGCCCAAAGCCTTGGGACCCTGCACCTGCATGGGATACCAGGAAGAAGCTCCTGGTTCCTAGCTTCAGATTGGTTTGGTTCCAGTTGTTGCAGCCACCTGGGGAGTGAACCAGCAGATGGAAGATCTTCCTCTCTGTCTCTCCTCCTCTCTGTATATCTGACTTCCCAAAAAAAATTTTTTTAAAAATCTTTAAAAATAAATAAAATAAAATAAAATAAAATAAAATAAAATAAAATAAAATAAAATAAAATAAAATAAAATAAAAGTGCCACACTTGGGGCAGGCAGTACAATGAGGTACGTTAAGCTACCACTTAGGATGCCCACAGCCCGTACCAGAGCACAGGTTCTGTTCCGGGTGCTTGCACTCAAAACTCCAGGCTTCCCGCAAACACTTCCTAGGAGGCAGGGGCTGATGGCTCAGGTGCTTGGGTCTCTGCCACGCACACAGGAGACCTGGATGGAGTGAGCTCCCGGCCCCTGGCTTACACATGGCCTGGCCCTAGCTGCTGCAGGCATCTGGGAAGTGAACCACCGGACAGAAGATCTCTCCTCTCCAGTCACCCTCCACCTTTCAAGCACATGAAAAGGAAGAAATTTAAACATAAACTTTGTAGGGGAAAAAGTGTCACCCTTGAGAATACAGCCGTGAGCCAGGAGATAGGCTGCAGTTACTGAATGAGGCTACCAAGAGTCACGCAGAAAAGAACCTGAGTACATGGTGAACCTTGGAGCCAACGGCTGGGCAGATCTCGGGGCCTGTTGCTAGGAGACAGAAACTGCCCAGGCAAAGGTTAAAAGCTCAGGTCATGCTGTTTCCTTTGTCTAGATGGAAGATTTCATGGCAGTCACTCAACCATCCCTCTGCTACCACATACTCTGTGGGTACATCATGTGCTATTCCCATTTGCTATGTAGCCACAGCTGGTGGGAATGCCAAGTAGCCAAATCTGGTAATAACTGTAGTACATACACAAAACTTATATATCCAGTTTTCCACATGGGAACTAATTTTTCATCCTCACAGCAACCCTGCGTGGCAGTACAATTCTTACAGCAGTGTGACACCTGCGTGAACAGGCCCAGAGAGGTTAACAGAATAGCCCAAGGTTATAGGGCTCATGAACTAAAGGAAAGGCATCCCTGGAACAAACTAACCAGACATAGCTTTAGCTTGGGGAAAGGTGAGCATGTCATCAGAAAGGTGCTTTATGTGAGGCCAGCACTGTGGTGCAATAGGCTAATAATACTCCACCTTTGGCACCAGCATCACATATAGGTGCCAGTTGGAGTCCTAGCTGCTCCATTTCTGATCCAGCTCCCTGCTGATGGCCTGGAAAAGCAGCAAAAGATAAGGCCCAAGGCCTTAATCCTTGTACCCATGTAGGAGACCTGGAAGAAGCTCCTGGGTCAGGGCCAGTGCAGTGCAATAGGTTTAACCCTCTACTTGAAGCACTGGCTCCCATATGCATGCCAGTTCAAATCCCAGTTGCTCCATGTTAATGTGCTTGTGAAAGCACTGGAGGATGCCCCAAGTATTTGGGCCCCTGCGCCCATGTGGAAGACCCACATGAAGCTCTTGGCTCCTGGTTTCAGATAAGCTCAGCTGCGGCAATTATGGCCATTTGGGGAGTGAACCAGCAGATCGAAGATCTCTCTTATCTCTGCTTCTCTCTAAATCTGCCTTTCAAGTAAAAATAAATTTAAACAAGAAGAAAAAAAGGAAAAAAATGAGAGAGGGGGAGGGAGGGAGGGGAGAGAGAGAGAGAAAGAAAGGAAGGAAGGAAGGAAGGAAGAAAGGGAGGGAAGGAGGGAGGGAGGGAGGAAAAATCTAGGGATTGAACCAAGGGATGGTTCAATCTCTCTATCTCTCTAACTCTGCCTTTGTCATAAAAATAAATAAATCTTCTTTAAAAAAATGAAGGGTGCCTTACATGACCCACCACGTATCATTCTTAAAGAGTTCTCTGAGAGGCATGATGTGCGTAGGTTAGCACAGGGGTGACTTGGCAACAACACTTAGCTACCCTGATACTCACTTTTGGGTAATCATCTCTCTGCCAATTCTATGGGATCCTAAAGGAACCGACAATCATGGCATCCTGTGAGAAGACTATTTGAACCAGGTTAAGCCCATCAAAGCCCAGCAAATGATTAGTTGTAGAGTAGGCATGTGACCTGGGCAGGCCTTTCTTGATAAATAGATAGTAGACAAGAGGTGGGAAAGATCTAAGTGCTAAAATTCAAATGTTTAAGCCAGGGGTGAATGTGGGGGTTAGAGGCCAGGTTAAGCTGCCCCTTGGAAGCCCACTTTACATATGGGAATTCTGGCTTCAATCCCAGTTGCACCACATCCTCTCTAGCTCCCTTCTAATGCACCTGGGAAGGCAGCAGAAGGTAGTCCAAGTGCCAGCCCTGTGGGAGACCCCAGCTGCAGTTCTAGGCTCCTGGTTTCAGTCTGGCCCAGCCAATGCCCACTACAGCCATTTGGGTGAACCAACAGATGATAGATTTTGCTCCCTCTGTAACTCTGCCTTTCAAGCAAATATTAAAAACAAAACAAAACAAATACAAAACCACTAAGCAGGCCCGGCACAGTGGACTAGCAGTTAAAGTCCTGACCTTGCACACGCAAGGATCCCATATGGATGCTGGTTCTAACCCCAGCAGCCACACTTCCCATCTAGCTCCCTGCTTGTGGCCTAGGAAAGCAGTCAAGGACAGCCAAGACCTTGGGACCTGCACCTGTATGGGAGACCCAAAAGAGGCTCCTGGCTTCATTTCGGATCAGTGCAGCTCCAGCCATTGCGGCCAGTTGGGGAGTGAATCAGTAGATGGGAGATCTTCCTCTCTGTATATCTGACTTCACAATTGAAAAAAAAAAAAAAAACTAAGTCCAGAAGGATAACTCTAGGGTCTGAATTATTCGGGCAATTTGACCCTATAGCCAGCAACCTAACCACCCTAACCCCCTAATGAAGGCTAAGCCACAGAGGGAGGGGACAGAGGAAAGGCTCAAAAAAAAAAAAAAGGTTTGAAAGGAACTTGGTTACTTTGTAAAGGAGGAAGGAAGAAGATGTGTGCGCTGGGAGCAGAGCACTCACCATGCAGGCCTGAGCCAGGCTCATAGCCAGCCTGAACCGGGCGGACATAGCGGGAGGCAGCAGCGGGCTGAGGCCGGAGCCCACGTCAGGGTTGATCACACGCAAGCAGCGAACTACAGCCTCAACCACCAGCTCAGTGGTGAAGGCCCGCAGCGTCTGCACCTCTGGAGGAACTGCCCTGAAGAAGGAAGGGGAAGGCTCAGAAGTGGAACAAGAGTAGGCAGGATGCAGGGAAGCCCTCTGGAAGCCCTAGAGCCAGCCTGGAGAGGATGGCCAAGGTCAGAGCCATCCTGGGGCCTGGGTTTTGGTGGCTGTGACTTCCATTTGATACAAAAAAGCAGGAAAAGCCTCTGTTCCCAAAAGCTTGGTGTAGAATGGTGGATGGAAAGGACCTAGGTTCCAGAACTCTCACACTGCCCTTCTGCTTAGAAGCCTTATGTTTAAGGGGTTCTGGGAGAATGAAGGGACCCATGGCATAGTCTCCATGTTTCCAGGTCCAAGGATACTACATTCTATGCATAATATGAGGGACCCCTAGATATTATTCTCTTAGGGTTTTTGGGGGAGACTATATATTGGGATGCTGGGGTTTTCCACCATTTTATCAGGGCCCTTGTAAGTCAAGATCCCTAGATTATCAAGACCATGCAGTTTTAACACATACAAAAGCCAGGCTCCCTCGAGGTTGGCATCCTGGGTTTTAGAGCTTTTGAATGAAGGAATCCTTGTGTATCTCGGTGAACAAGTACTGATATCACCATTTTTTCTGGTCTTGGGGTTTTGGAAGCCAAAGGTGTTTAGAGAACTTAAGTTTGAAGGCTCTTAAATATCCCATCCGGAAGTTTGTGGGGTCCTCCACTAACCTCCCCCTAAGAAATAAGATCCCAACGCCTTAGGATCTTCAGGTAACAGAGTCCAAAGCTTATCCACAGATTCCAGAGCCCCGGTTGTTAAGATTCTCAAGTATGTGTGGGTCCTGGAGTTTGGAATTACTAAATGTCGGGTCAAAGAGTTTAAAAGGTCCCTAACGTAGCCGTGTGTAGAGAACCCTTCGGATTTTGGAAGTTGACGCCCTGAGTGTCAAGGTCCCGAGTTTTAAGGTTCCCGGGTAACGGGGTCCTAGGTTTCAGAGACCCGGATGTGGGCTTTTGCGGGTGAGTGGAGGCTGTGTACTTACGTGCCGGCCTGACGCAGCGAATGGATGAGGATTCGGTCCGCCTCCTCCATGGTGCAGCCGTGTCGGATTCGGGGGCTGGGTCCAGAGCCGGATCCGAAGGAGTAGGGTGCAACTGCCGAAACCTCGCTCGGCGATCTCGGTCCACCGAGTGTCACGGGCCGCGCAGGGAGAGCTGGGAAGTGTAGTTCCGTAAGCGGGCGTGCGCGGCGCAGGCGGGAATACCTGGGAGGGGCGCGTGAGTTCGTAGTCTTGAACGCGCGATGGCTGCTGGGAGTTGTAGGTCTTTCACCCTCAGCCCTGATTCTTTAGTGAAAAAAAAAAAAAAACACTGATGGGGAAAGAAGAAAGAGATTTTTTTTACCCATTCGTTTAAGGCGGCATCCATCTTCCACACTGTAAAGTTGTGTAAGTTAAGGGAAAGGCTTTAATACCAAGCGTCTGCTTCCCTATGCCTGACTTTGCTCATCACCAAAAAATGGGACTATAGAACATGCTACCTAGGATTAAAACAAGCTTAATTTATGTAAGGCACGTGTACCTTGGGTCTGACACATAATGCAATAGGAAAACAGTGTTACTTATGGTTATTAGTATTCATGCATCCAATCAATGTTTTATTCTTAGTATGTTGTATATGTTTGTGTAGTCCACAGGATAATTACCTAGTAAATATTTATATAAAGTACTTCCAGTGTTTGTTATAAATCACATGTACATATGCATATGTGTGTTAAGTGTCTGAGCTCTATTTTATTCTCAATTACTGTGGCTGTGCAAGAAGCTTTGATATCTAATACAACAAGTTTTCCTTCCCATCATGTTCTTTTTCTGAAAGCTTTTTTAAAAAGATTTATTTATTTTTATTACAGAGAGGAGGAGAGACGGAGAGGAAGATCTTCCGTCCAATGATTCACTCCCCAAGTGACCACAATGACTGGAGCTGTGCCAATCTGAAGCCAGGAGCCAGGAACTTCCTCCAGGTCTCCCACACGGGTGCAGGGTCCCAAGGCTTTGGACTGTCCTTGACTGCTTTCCCAGGCCACAAGCAGGGAGGTGGATGGGACAATGGGGCCGCTGGGATTAGAACCAGCACCTATGTGGGATCCTGACGCATAGAAGGCAAGGACTTTAGCCACTGTGTTGGGCTCTCCCATCATGTTCTTTTTCGAATTTAGCTTTTGATGCACATTTCAGAATCAGTTTGCCAAGTTCTGCAGAAAAAAAAAAAGTGGAGGATTTTTGTTTTGGAATCACATTGCCCCTCTCCATTACCTTAGAAAGAATTGACATCTTAACAATGTTGAAAATTTCAATCAGTAAATGTTACATAGTTCTCTGTTGATTTAGAACCCCTTATTAGCATTGGATACTATTTTGTTTGTTTTTTCCCTGGAGGTATTGTACACATATTATACACATAATTATACACATATTGTCCTAAGTACTCAAATTTCAGATGCAATGAAACCTCTCTTCTTATTTTGTTTTTGAATCTCTGGGACCCTTACATATCTAGTAAACATTTAATCAGTGCCTTTCACATCGCCAAGCTCTGGCTCACCAACGTCCTGTTTGCACTCCTGTTCCCCCTCCCCCTTTAATACTGCAATCGCCCCACCCTGTGACCTTAATCCCTCTAAAGCTGGGGGAGGAGAGGGAGGCTATGCGCAGATGGCCCTTCAATCTCAAAAGGAGGATGTCGGAATCTGAAGGCGGGAAAGGTGAGAGCTGCTTCCCACCCCTGCAGACCCTTGGAGCAAGTCTGAGCTTGCCTCCACCCTCAGCTCCTCTCACCCATCCAATGTCCTCCCAGACCCCCTCCCCCAGGGAGCGCTTCCGGGGACCAGAATCCTCCCACCCCATTCCCATCCCAGCCGGCCCCAAACACAGCCTCAGCCCTCTGATATCCCGCTTGACAGGACACTTCCCCCCTAACGCCTTCCAGCTCCACCTATTTCCTTAGTTCCCAAAAGAAACCCAACCTGAATCCGGGACCTAAGCCCATGCTAGCTTCCATCCCAACTCTAACTGCATCGTCAGCACCACACTGAATCCTAAAGTAAATCTTGCTTCCCAGCAGGCCAATCCCTGTTAGAGTCCAACCCCGCCCTGGATACAGACCTTACCAAGCGCTCCAACATCACCTGATCTCAACCTCAATCTCAACCCCTGGATGTCGGTAGTCTTAGGAGCGTGGTCTCTAACTTTCCCAAACCCTTTTAAGAAACAAAACAAGAGAGAGAGAGAGAAACTTAATGTTAGTAAACCTCATGCATTCTGGAGTAAGATTGCCTAAGTTTGACTCCCAGTTCAACCACTTCTTCAGGTCACTTTGAACTTTGGCCTCCATTTCCTCATCTACAAAATGAGTATAATATTTTGTGTTAGGCATTCTGACTGTCAAACTTGGTCAACCCTCACAGCCTGCCTATAATGTAGGTATTCTTGATACTCTTATTATCCCCATTATATAGACGAGAAAATTAAAGCTCCAACAGATTATATCACTTGCCTCCACAGCCATCGAGTGGTAGAGTCAGGATCTAATTGTGGACGTTGTTTCCTGCTTGGCTGTCTTAACCAGCCAAGCTACTCTCCTACAGAGATGGGAAACAAGGTAATGGGAAGGAGAGATGGACTCAGCAGAAAACCCCACTCAAAACTCAACTCCAGCCCTAACCTTGATCCCCATTCTCATTCCAATTCAAAATAAGCAATCCTAACCCTCAAGCAAAATGAAATCAGACTCCATTCCTTCCCACATTTAAACCCAATCTCATTCCAATCCAAAAGCAACCACTCACCTTAAATTTGTTGCCAGTTAGAAATTTAATCCCACCCCCATGACAATCTAAAGTCTAGTTCCCAGCGTTGACATCAAACTCTACTTTGCTTGGATACGTAATCTCCCCTTCACCCCATGCAAACTGTTATTTTATCCCCAGTATTAATCTTATCAGTTCATTTACCACCACCCCCAAAAAAAACCATCATCCATAGTCCCAACTCTCCCTAATTCTTTTAAGATTTATTTTTCTGGGAAAAACAGATGTACAAAGAGAAGGAGAAACAGAGAAAAAGATCTTCCATCCATTGGTTCATTCCCCAAGTGGCCACAACAGCTGGACCTGAGCCAAAAAGAAGCCTCTTCAGGGTCGGCTACATGAGTGCAGGGTCTCAAGGACTTAGGTCATCTCTGCTGCTTTCCCAGGCCACAAGCAGGGAGCTGGAAAGAAAGTGGAGCATCCAGGATCCCTCCGCATATAATATGAGGACTTTAGCCATTAGGCTATTGTGTCAGGCCCAACTCTCCCTTATTTTATGCACTCTTTTCTTCTTCCTTTAAACATGGGAGTGAGCAGGACGCAGCAATATTTTGATGCCTTCTTACTCTCTGATTTGGTTTCTCCACACAGACAACACTCCAGACCCCAGTCCAGCCAATGGAGAATGCCCTGGTCCCGAATGGGGGCTGTCCACTGGAGCTCCAGCGGCAGGGGATGACATTAGTGGATCATCAGCTCTGGGGACCCCTAGACGAAAGACCCAGCACAGCAAGCACAAGACAGTGGCAGTGGCCAGTGCTCAGCGGTCACCCCGGGCACTCTTCTGCCTCACCCTAGCCAATCCCCTGCGGAGATCCTGCATCAGCATTGTGGAGTGGAAGCATCCTGGAAAGCCAGGAGCATGCCTCAAGGGAACCAATAGTCAACAATTGGGTCAAGGCTGAGATGGAGTCTAGTTGAGATTATTAGGGATCAATTGTGAAGAACAGGATTAGAAGGGGAGTTTAGAAAGGTAGAGGTCATGGCTGGGGAATGGGGTGGATTTAGAATCAAGGACTAAATCACAAGGTGGTTGAGGTTTCCACTGTGGTCCAAGTCAAGGCCTAGGGTAGGGTAGGGGTGGGGGAGCAGGGCTGGAGAAGTCTGGATCGGTGACCCGGAAGTCAGGGGCACACAGAGGTTCTGCCTGGATCCTTGACTGTGTCCACTTAAGGCCCTTCGACATCCTCATCCTGCTCACCATCTTTGCCAATTGTGTGGCTCTGGGGGTCTACATCCCCTTCCCTGAAGATGACTCCAACACCGCTAATCACAACCTGGTGAGGCACCTTCCCCCATACCCAACCTACCCCATCTTCACAGAAAGTCACATCTCAAGGCTGCCATACAAGCCCTGTCTTCCTCAGACCCAAATGGCCCATTTCTACCCAACCCCATCCTCTATCTAGACCCCCCACACACCAACCTTCAATCCCTTCAACCCTGCCTACACTTAACTCTTCAACTCCCACCCCACCCTTGTTTCCCCCCACAGGAGCAAGTGGAATACGTCTTTCTGGTGATTTTCACTGTGGAGACCGTGCTCAAGATTGTGGCCTATGGGCTAGTGCTCCACCCCAGCGCCTATATCCGCAATGGCTGGAACCTTCTCGATTTCATCATCGTTGTGGTCGGGTGCGCATCTGAAAGGGCACAGTGCTCTAGTTGACCTTCTGAACTGCAAGATTCTGCACTCAGGGAAGCAATTGTTTAAGATTGCTCCACTAGGCAGGCAGCATAAGAAATACTAACATTTATCTATTTAAGATTTATTTGGGGGCCAGCATGTTGGATCAACTGGATAGCCCTCCACCTCCAAGTGCCAGCATCCCATATGGGTGCCAGTTTGTATCGTAGCTGTTCCACTTCTCATACAACTCCCTACTTGTGATCTGGAAAAGCAGTGAAGGATGGCCCCAAGTCTTGGGACCCTATACCCATGTGGGAGACCTAGAGGAAGTTCCTGGCTCTGGATTAGCTCAGCTCTGGCCACTACAGACATTTGGGAAATAAATCAGTGGATGAAGGATCTTTCTCTCTGTCTTTCCTTCTTTTTATAAATTTGTCTTTCCAATAAAAATAAATATTTTTGAAAAAAATGAAGGAAGAAAGGAAGGAAGGAGAGAGGAAGGGAGGGAAGGACTTAATGAAAACAGTAATACCAAAGCTGGTGCTGTAGCATAGTAGGCTAAGCTCCACCTACAGCACTGGCATTTCTCCAAAAATTTTTCTCTTGTTTATTTGGAAGGCACAGTTACAGAGACAGAGAAAGAGAGAGAGTGACAGAGACACTATGTGCACTTTATCTACTGGTTCACTCCCCAAATGACTACAACGGCAAGG